TTTAGAATAACAAACACTCAGACACACACACACACTCATAGACACGCTCAAGGACAAATATTCTTATCTCTGGTTTATACTGAATGCTGGTAGAGGCAATGAATACTTTTCAGAGCCCATGATCAGAAACAGGAAACCCATTTTCCTTCCTCACACCTATCTTCCTAGGACAATTTTTAATATTCCTCTTTCCATTTCCTCATGCAGAGCTCATTGCCAGACTTGTATAGGGTTAAGGTAATCTGTTTTTAACAATTTATTTTTACTTAAACTATAAGCTTTAAAAAAGCATAAGCAGAAATGATTCCCCTTACCCACCCACCCCCATTTTTATGATTTTGGTTGTAGAATCAAGCTTCATATATCGAAAAAAAAAAAAAATCTTGTTTAACCACAATTACACTAAATGCAAGAGTCATCTGGAGCAGCCACCTCTCTCTCTACTGTTACTACTTTGAATTCCAGGGTGTCAACTAATCTGTGCAAGTTGACACCCAGGAACTCGCCCTTACCACAATCTTAGATGACTGTTGTTCTATCTACCTTGGCTCCATGGGATCATAAATTGTCAGATATGGAGCTGAGGCATAAGAAAAAAGATAACAATCCTATATAATAGGTATAAGTCTTGGAACAGAGTTGTCAAAGAACTTTGCAATGACAATCAGCTCTGATTTCCCCATGATATTATTTTGTTTCCATAATGGCAGATAATGAAGTTTATAGCTCACAAACAGAACTAACTTACTCTGATTCAGAAAGAATTTGTGGCTTCTAGGCAATGAAGAAAAATTCTTATTACACATAGACAGATGATTTGTGAGGTGATTCAAAGCAGAAAATATACCTATTTCAAATAAAATCAATACTCCACTCATATACTAGTCAGTTCTATTTATATAGTAATTTCTTTGCAATCACAATTCTTGCCTAAACATTTAATAAGTTAAAAATGAGAAGGCCTTGGTGTATATCAGCTAGAGATAAAAGAAAAAAAGAGAAAGTAAGAAAAGAAGCTGGTTTTTAAATACTTAATTAAAAAAAAAAATCTATACTGATCCAAAGTCATACATAATTTTTCCCTTTCTCCAGGTCAGTAAGACTCAATTTCCATGTAAGACTGAAACAGAGCTAGATAAAAAGGGATGCTTTATACCTCATCTGAACAATGTATCATATCAAAGGAAAAAAATTGACTAGGTCTGTGACCAGGCAAAGCAATTTTATGGTATGATTATATTACACTACAAAAAAATAAGAAGAATGAATACTGAGAATTTAAAAATTAGAAAGAACTTTTCAATATTCATGAAAAAGTAATGAAAATAAACACAAAAATAATGAATAATCTGGGCAACAGTTCATAATTTAGTAGATAGTAAATATAAATTAAAAGAATTATCACACAAAATTACTAAACTGTCTTTTTCTCAAGTCACATATTTAGGAGGAAAGATGTTTGAAAGTTAAGAAAGACATACAGATAATCAGCCTGGGAAAATCATAACTTTAAAAGACCCAGTTCCTGGCGGATGACTCTCTGTAGCAATCTAGCAAATAAAGAATTTCTAAGCAGAGGCAGAAGGCTGCTGCTCAGAAGCAAAGTGGAATTTATTAAGGCTAAGTTACCTTTGTTTAGATTTGAAGCTTTTAAAAAATATTTTGATGAAAGAATAAACAAGGAAGAAAAATACATCTTAAAGAGTTGTAGTTTCCTATATAAAAATTTGTATTTTCATTGTCTGACTTTGGAAAACAGAGTAACTTTCTAAATCTCACTCAGGATAAGAGATATTTTCTGACTACTTTTGTCTCAAGGGTTAGTAGAAGTATCTCAGATATACTTGAAATATTTTTTAAAAATACTTCACATCTATTGGAAATTAATCTTTGTAATGAAAACTCAAAGAAGGCAGAACACCAATAAAGTCTGTTCACTAATTTCATGAAAAGTAATTAATCTCCTCTAATCTTAGAAATACACAGCCTCACCAACTACTTTCCCAAGCCCCTTAAATGTGAATACCTTATATTAATCTAGACTCTTGAAAAATTAAGAGTTCTCTAGAAAAAGGAGAACATTTGTTTTATCAAGTATTGAAAATGGTATAAAAAGAGGGTTCATACCAAGTTATAAACTGAAGATTAACCATAAGCTTAAATTTTGAGTTATAAAATGATTTTTGCCATTGAATGAGAGGAAACAAGGGAAAAAGTTAACAATTTCTAACCTATTCCAGGACTCTAAAAAAATAGAAACAAAAAAATAAAATTAGAAAAAAACTCCATAAAGATAGCAAGAATGGAACTCTAAAGGAAAGGAATTAAAAGATATTGTCTTACTTACATGTATTTATTTTATATTATCAAACTGACATTTTTGGCAATTTTGAACTAAGGAAACTAATGTATGCATGCTGGAGTCTTGTACACTAATAAGAAAAGTTAAGCAAAGAATCTAAAACAAATTGCTCACTCTTGGTGGAGGGGGCTCATGCATTTAGGCAAAATTATTGTGAATCTTTCTTCAATTATCATTGCTTTTCCTGATGTAATTTTTAGAAAAGCATAATTTTTTAAAAGACCATCAGTTTTAGGTTTTAAAAATAAGAACAGGTTCCTCTTGGGATTTCTAATTTACAATCTCATAAATAGGTTACAGGGTGATCTGATAACAAAATCCAACTTGTTTTATGAAAAATGTCCACTGGTAGCTACCACAAATCAAGAGCCAATATATATATGTTCTGTATAAAATCTAGTCTTTCTTTTGCAACTTGACTTTTTAGAGTTTGTGATGTGTTTACAATTGAGGGTGGGAACTTGGGGGGCTAGGAATAAAAATAAATCTAGCCCTTCTGGTTGAATCATTTGAAACTCAGATTTTTTTTTTTTTCTGTGTAGGAAAATGAATTATCTTCCATCTAAGATTGAAAAGACTCAACTTGTCTCACCAAGGTAATGACCAAGAAAAGATCATGTTATTTCAGAAAGGGAACAAGTAATAGGGAGCATAATACCTTTGACAAGATTTTAAAAATATCTCTCTACAGAGATAGATAGATAGATAGATAGATAGATAGATAGATAGATAGATAGATAGATAGATAGACAAACAGATAGCTAGACAGATAGACAGAGAGATACATACATAGGTAGGTAAGTAGATAGATCGACGGATTGATCTATCGATCTATCATATTTTTAGTTTCAAGGAAAGAAGAGCCTGAACTTTTAATAGCATACTGTAGATTTGCCAAAAAGAGGCAAATCCAGAATATAATGGCATTATCAAGAAAATACATTTTATTTAATTTAGAAAGGATACCTTTGTGTACAATGTCAATTGGTCAATTGATAAATGTTATTTGAACAGTAAATTTGCTATGTTAAGTCAATGGAAATATCAACACGAGGCACTTTGGGTCATGAATGACCGCAAAAATTTTAAATTAGAAAAAGGGAAAAATAGATTTAAGAAGTAGAAATTCAATAAGATGCTGTATATTAGCTATATATTTCCTCAGATTTCATCTCTTCTACTAAAGAGTTATACTGTGAGATCTACATCAGAATTAGCAGGAAAAACAACTCTTTTTTCCTGTCACCCTCATCAAAAGATACTTTAAACCCACGCCGAACCAACAGTCATCACTGGGCACATGTGGCCATCAAATATATGAAATGTGGCTGTGCTGCAAGTTGAAACAGTAATGCTTTGCATATACTGGATTAAATAAAATGTATAATTAAAATTAATTTCAACTGCTGTTTTTTCATTTTCCATTCATGGGAGTAGGAAGATGGCTGCTTCTATGTACTCAGAGGAGATGTATACTCTTCTTTGGAATTTCACCCAAAAAAATGAAAATTTTCTGAAGGATTTAAAAAAATGCCAAAAGTTGCAAATTAAATCTAAAACTGCAGCTCCTATCTAGCCCAATTGTAAATCTGAATTGCATATTTCCCTGAATACACGCATTTAAAAAAACAATAAAATTTAAGTTATGAGATAACATACAAATGAAGTCAATTTCACAGTTATAAATATTTCAAATTACAGCTACACACTACAATTTACAGAAAATAAAATTCAAGTAATAGAAAAAGAAAAGAGGGAAATAAAAGGTGAAGTTATTAAAGAGGGCTGTAACAATAAGAACTGCACCATTTGGATAACTGTCTGAAAAAATTTTACTTGATTAACTGAACTGCATGTAAAGGACTTCAAGACCTAAGCACTTCTCAAAAAAAAAAAGCAATCAATCCTTTCTTTAACTTCTTGGATGTTCATCCTCTTCTTTGAAAGTGAAAGTATTTTTTTCCCAGAACTGACCCCAGAAGAGCTTGCCCCAAGTGGAAAGAAGCAAGAGTCCCGGGGCACACAACGATGCTGAAGCCCATCTGCAATGTGAACACAGGGTGGCAGTAGTGTGCATGGGGCCAATGCACTGTTGGCTCCAGGAAATGCCAATGATGAAACCATGTATATCTTGAGACCAAGTACTCATTTTAAAGAAAACATCCAATGTACTGGCATGAAGTACAGACTACACACAGGAAACAAGCAGCACAGTTCCTGCTATATGTTTATAAGGAAAGGGAAGGGGTTAATCCCAAAGGCAATTTAAATAATGTATTTTACTTTTATATATAAATAAATGTTCTGAGAAATCTCAGACTTTAGTGCATTGTTGTAAAAAATTAGTGCAGTTTTTTCATTAAAGTTTTTAGCTCTCAAGGAATAAGATAAATCTATGTCTGTTCATAGTTTCTTTCACTGTACATTAAACTTTCATTCTGCTATATGTCAAACTGAAAGTTTCTAACTGGTCTGTTTTTAAAAATCAAGGTAAATGGATTTCATGTTCTATGACAAAACATGGCAATTATTTTTGGCAAAGAAAATTAGAAAAATATGAGATCATAGTTTAGAAATGAAGAGTCGGTTGACTTAAAGCATAGGCAATCCATTGGGAAAAACTTTTTTTAAGGACACAATTTTAAGAGAACTTAATTTTTATCCTTCATGCAAAATGTTTTCTCTGCAGCTAACTTAAAAAAATATTTCAGCTTTATTTCAGGATGGAGACAGTGACAGGGGTCAGGGTGAAGGGCACAGGAGAGGTGCTTGACCAAGCCCACTCTATGTTCAAGTCTCTCCCATCTAGGATCAAAGTGATACCTGCAGGCATCTCTGTTTTCTCCTCTCTTTCCAGTGTTTTAGAATTGAGAGGGAAAAGAAATGTAGCTATAAAACACCGGCTCACACTTCAGCCCCAAGTTCTAGTACCCCAGTTTCAATGACAGTCACATATTTATCATCAATCTGGACCAGAAGCACTGTCTTGTCGATGTGGGATCTAGTACCTGGATCTCGGCTGCAAGGCACCCATCGGTGAATCACCTAATGATTCAGGATAAAACAAGATGTTAGTGGCAGAGACCTTGAACGTACTCACAAACTCTTACCCTTCTCTTAAGATTAGAAGTAGCAACTGTTTGATGATTAAATATAAGTACACAAATTAAATATGCAAACAGGCACACAAGTCAGTCAAACTACAAAAAAGCAAGAATACCAATTAGCTTTGTAAGAGAACTTACATGGCCTTCCATGCCCTCCTGAGGACTCCAGTCTTTCCAGCTGTTTCTTCCAGCTTTTAACCGAATTCCCTCATCAGGCCACTGCAGCTCTTTCCTTTTTGATAGGTTGATCGCATCCAAAATTTGACTGGGATCTACAATCTACATATAAATAAATATGAGTCAATTTCTACTCATTTTTTTCTTGATGGTGAAAATGACATAATCCAAAACAAAATTTCATTCATAGGATTCATGTCTCAAGTTCTGTATTGTCTATAACAGAGTAAAAAAAGGGAATGACCCACCATCTGAATTCTTTTCGGCCTACTGGTAGAGCTTCTGCATTGGGCATGACAATAGCTAAGTAGGGAAAAATATCACCACTGTAAACTGTTTGCTTTCATTAAGTTTTTATGCTAGCAGATGCTTTTCTCCCCCCAACATTCAAAAATGCTCTATTCAGACTAACATAAGGTGTGTTTTCATAAGAATCCTTCACTCAAAGAAGAAATAAAAGCAAATGAGGGGCCTCCCCTGGTGGCGCAGTAGTTGAGCGCTGGGCTGCGAAGCTGTCCGCAGCCTCTGCAGCGCTGGTTCGATCCCTGGCCACCGGTGAGGGTCCCACATGGTGCGCAGACCTCTCCTGCCACCTGCTGCTCCCCTCAGCAGTGTACTTCGTCACTCTGTTCTGCTCCCTGCTCTGGCTCTGGTGAATTCTCTCACCCTCCCGTGCTTCTGACTGTACCCAGTTCTTGTATAAATAAATAAATATTTAAAAAAAAAAGCAAATGCATAAAAATAATAGCACAAGTTGATCCTAGGCTTACTCACTTGAACTCTGTAAATGACTTCCCCCTTTTTGGCATGTGAATTACTGGCAGGACTTAAGGTATTGCCTGGTGGTGCATCAATGGCACTGCTCTGACCTCCCTCTGTTCCAAGAAAGCCCACAAGAGTGTGATGCTTGCAGGCAGGGATGCTTTGGCTGGAGCTGCTGGAAGAAGGAAGGCCATGCTGTACGCAGGCCATGCCATTCTGACTGGAGGGTTCCAACTGGTTCACCATAGAGAGGCGGGACTGGATGGATGACGGTAAGTTTCGAAGTGATATCTGACTGGTGGAAGAACGCCGACAAGGCACAAATCCTGTGGTGGACATCCGGAGAGACGAATGCCGGCTGCTGTAGCAGTAAGAAGACTGGCTGGCCACTGAGGCCCGAGCAGGGGACTGTCTGACCAGGCTTGACTGTACAGAATGAGAGCTGTGGCTCGTGCCTAGAGGAGAACAACACAACAGCACTCTGTCAAAGACGGATGGCTCCAGTAAAATTCCTTTTGCAGTCTTTAAGACTGTCTCCCTTAAATAAGAATTTATAGAACTTTTAACATTTGTACCTAAACTTTTAAAGTTGCCAGAAAGAATAATCTGACATCTGTTTTCTTGAATGTTTTTGATCATTTTTATTTGCTTAAGCTTTTTGAAATTCAAATTCTGGAGCATAAAAAAGACACATAATTAAGATATAAGGTTGGGAAAAAAACAAAATATCTCTCACAGAAATATTTTAGAATAAGAAGAGTATCTCTTTCATACATCACAAATGAAATCTCTCATGGAAATCAGACAGAAATATCAAGGATCTACGATGTGGCGAGTTCCGTAACCACTATTTTTCAAAGTATAGTTTTAATATCCTTTCATTCTATTTCAATGGCAAGCTACACTGCTTATAGAGCCAGTGACACCAAGTTGCAATTTTCATATGCATGAAGAGTTTGCTACTATATACAAAATCATTTGACAAATTATCAATGATACTGAATAGCAAGTTCTTCTGTGTCCTTTTTCAAATGGCTTGATATTTGAATCCTTCAGATTTATCTTTTTTCTGACTTATAGTAGTGACTGATATGAAGACTATTAGAAAATCATAAAATTGAAAAAAAAGCTACATGTGATTTATATCTGAAAACAGAGCTAATTAATTGTAAAAGCAAGAGGTACATAAGGAAGCACTTTGAAAATCTTAAGTTTTCATTTAAAAGTAAAAAAAAAATCAAATGTTGATCATATACCTATATACAATCTGGAATTTACAATTCCAACTGTATTGGAATTTATTTTTAATTTACACAAATATCTTAAAACTTCAACGGACCCATGTGAAGTGGTCGGAAAGGACAATGCTGGACAAATTGACCACACAAAGGGCAACAGGAGAATCTGATTCCTACTGCAAGCTGTGCAGATTACAGCTCTCATGTAAAAGATAAATAGTAAAATACTTTCGTGGCTCTGGGATAGGAAAATTTTTCTTAAATAGAATAAAAAAGTGTTAATCAATAAAGGAAATGATCTATAAATTGTTTTACACTAAAGCTAAGTACTTCTCATCAAAAGAAGGCAGGTCACTCTTCACAGGAAGCCAATGCATAAACAATGGCTTGGTGTATTTAGAGAATTTAACATTTTTAAGAGCCAAAAGCAGAAATGGGAAATTTCTGTGGTACAGAAAACACAAAGGCCCCAAATCCAGAATATACAAATATAAGTAAGAAAAAGATAACCAAATTGAAAGATGGGCAAGAGACTTAATAGGCACCTCAGAATTAGGAATAGCTGATAAACTCATGAAACAGCGACCAACCTCAGGTGTCAGAGCAATGCAAATTAAAGTGAAAGAATTAACAACCAACTCTTCTTCTGTCCCTCCAAGCAAGCAAGGTGCAGGCAGATGTGGGAACTCATAATACTCGAAGATGGTCAAAGTTTATAGGAGGGGTATTTGCCTATGACTGGTAAAAAAAACTTTCTGGAAAGATTTTGGCATTATATATAACACGAGTCTTAAACATTCTCATGATTTGACTTAGGGCTTCCACTTCTAGCCTAAGAAAATAGTAAGTGATCACAAAATTTACATACAAAGTTTACAACATATCAAAGAAACCTAATTACTAGTAAGAGAAGTTATATTAAATATCACCCTGTATTTTTTTATTTTCTTACATTGTTGTTCATTTTTGTCTAATATTTGATTTCTCCCCTTGTGTAGTCCCCATAATTCTCCCACCACCACTGCACCAGTGACCATTACCATAGTCCCTTGAGCTCTTCCCTTCCTTGTTTCGATCCCTCTTCCTCCCCTCCCCTGCTATAATGCCTCAGATCTATGGTTTGCCTGCAAGTTGTGTCTTTCTCCTGATCCCTTTGTTCCGTTTCCCCATATTCCCCCTATAAGTGACACCACTGTATATTTTTCTTTTTCCTTCTGCCTTATTTCACTTAGCATAATCTCTTCTAGCTCCAACATGATTAGCCTTTAAAATATTTTCAAAGAAATATTTTAAATATATGTATTATTTAAGTTATTAATGATTAATGGAAACAAACAGGATAATGTTCAAGTGGGAATCAAGTCAAATATTCTATTTATATTTTTCCAAATAGGTAATATACCTTCTTCTTCATACACACATACCAACTAAGCCTAAGAGGCAAACACTACAGACAGAATTTTGCTTCCTGTTACCTAGTGTTGGAGGGTAAGATGTGACTGGTGGATGGAGTCCTGTTCCTGATCCCTGGCCTGGATTTCCAGTGCTTCCTTGGGACATATTGCTATGAGGATCATTGGCAGTTGTTGCATTGTTACTGGTGCAGGAATTTCCACCTCCAGTATCAGAATCTTCAATATTGCCACCACTGTTACATCCAGCTCCACAACCTTTCCTTAACCTAGGAACAAATACCAGAGTAGGAAACATTATCCCAAGATCACTTCAAGATAGGCATTTTATTCTTTCAGCTATTTTGGAATTGTTGATGCTAGTAAACTGTTCACCTTGAAAGTCTTTAGGGTGTAGTCAGTTTTAGGGAAAAAATGTCTAATCTATTTTCATAAAACTATCTCCCCCTTATTTTCACTGCCTTAATTTTTCCCAATCTTCCCCACTTTTATACACTCTATCATTGTCCCTACACCACGAGAACTACACATAATACAAATCACAGGGGAAAAGACAATTCTTGCAAGTGTCTATTCTGTGATTCTGAAATAAGCAACCCATGAAAACCTTTATTTGTGTGTGTGTGTGTGTGTGCGCGCGCACACGCAGAAAAACTGGGGTGTAGGCCAGAAGTGCAGAGGGTGAGAGGATTCACCAGAGACAGAATGAGGAGCAGAACAGGCAGACTTATTGAAATACACTGTTAAAGGGAGCAGCAGTCAAGAAGAGATCTGCTGCACCATATGTGGGTTAGCTCTCTGGCTGGGACAGAAATCAGCCTTACCAGTGAAAGCACTGAGACTTAACCTCAGGGAGGCCCCCCCAAACCTGAATTAAACCTAATTTATGCTGTAACAGACTGGAAGAGAGCTGTTGCAATTATTTTTCTTGTTCTTTTTTAAATGTAGGGTGAACAACTGTCCTGGTTTGCCCACAATTGTCTCTATTTGTACTGCAAGTCCTCATTCTAGGAAATCCCTCAGATAAATCCCAGGTAAATCAGAACAACTGGACATACTAATCACTACGTTGTTTCTCTTCGGAGGAAAGAACTTAACCTCTTTAAGATATTTCCTGTACAACAGAAATTTATTGAAAAGAATATTTTTTTGAATGCTACACTCTGGTTTATGTTCCTCCGGCTGTTTGTATATTTATGTACATACTTGAAGACAGTACACACTTGCAATTTGAACAATAAATGTGTTGTTAAAATACTAGTAGTTACCTGTATCTTACAACTAGGAACATCAATTATATAAAATGCTCCCCCTACTACAGGGAGAGAATAAAATAGAAGAAAGTAATCAAGCTGCATAGGTTTCTTGGGTTTTTCTCTAATTTGCTCTGCTTGCTAGACCATGCATTCAACTAGTGCCAGTATGCTGTAATAGAGTAAAAATTAAACAAAAAGGGCCTCCCCGGTGGCGCAGTGGTTGAGCACTGGGTTGCGAAACTGCCCACAGCCTCTGCAGTGCTGGTTCGACTCCCAGCTGCTCCCCGGCCACCGGAGGAGGGTCCCACATGGTGTGCAGACCTCTCCTGCCGCCCACTGCTCCCCTCAGCAGTGTACTTCGGTCCTTTTGCCTGCTCTGCTCCCCATTCTGGCTCTGGTCAATTCTCTCACCCTCCCAGTGCTTGTATAAATAAATAAATAAATAAATCTATAAAAAAAAAAAATTAAACAAAAAAAATGGAGCCACTCAAAATTCTACCAAATGCTAGAGTAGGGGTTGTTACCATGAGTTGTACATTAGATTTCTCTAACAAGATTTTGGAGGTATAAATGTTCAAACACTACTTCCTGAACTTCAGCTATAATTGGTTTATATTGTACCATGGCATCTGTATTTTCCTACAAGCTTTTCAGGTAATGCTACTGCACATTGCCTAGATTAAGAGGGTCAGACTATACCATCACTGAAAAATGCATTTCCAAAGCTTACCTGTGCCAGGTTGACACTATGAAGTTTCTGATATTTCCCAAGCTGATAGGTCCCCCAAGAATTTCTTTAAGCTGCTCGTGGCTATCAGAATAAGAAGTTGTCAGAGGTGAGACAAAGATTGGGTAGCCGATGGGTTGATCACAAGATGAGTTTATCATGTTTCTCAGGGCTTGCTTTGCATTTTGGATGCTCCCTCTCTCTGGGTTACGGTTACGTAAAAAAACAAGTTCCTGCTGTTGTCCTGCCCAAAGGCCTCGAACACATTCCTTATTCACCTGAAAATCAGAACACATGGGAATTAAAGTGCTGAGAATGAAGTTCACATAAACAAGAGCAGAAATGGAAGAGATACAAAAGACATTATTATAACCAACTGTGAAAAACAGAAAACAAATATAAGCAGGTCACACTTGAATAGAGTTAACCAATTTCTTATTGTCATTAGTAGTCTGTTACATCATAAGCATGTACAGAGCTCTCCCCTCTGCTCTGCCTTGTATAAATATCAAGTACAACATAGTTCATTTAATTTTCCCAACTGGTGATATGGTGCTGATGTTTTAAGATGAGATGCTGCCCTCATATCATATATAATAGATCAAAGACCGACATATAGATAAGACTGCCAAAACAGAAATAAGTAAAAACTTTTATGGTTTTATGTCCAATAAGGATATTTCAGAAGACAGAATAAATTACTAACAAAATAAATTAACTGCCCACAAACAAACACTAATGCAGTATGGTCACTTTTTAATTAAAGTTTCAGTCATTTTTTAAAAAAAATTGAATAAGATAATCTAAGGTCTACTTTTTCAGTGGCAAATAAATGCCTCAAAAACCTACCTTAATGACCCTGAAGCTAAGGTAGCGTCTGTTGAGCATGATGATTTTGTATTCATTGGTGCCATCATCCATGACGTGCCGCAAAGCAAGCAAGGAGGGTGAGTTGGCAAGGACCGCACTCCGCCATGCAGGGTCCCCTTCGTGGGCTATTACTAGGTTTTTTTCATGAGATACAATGGCTTCATAGAGCACAGTAGGGTCATCATACTCATCCGGAGAAGTGAAATGATCCTAAACACAGAAATAAAAACTAGTCATGTATTTATTTTAATATAAAATTTAAATCTTTCCTATCATCTCCTTGATTCTTTTTTTAAAAAATATTTTATTTTATATAATGCTTACATCATTTTTCGTTTTTGCACAATGTATACATTTTCATTTTGGTTATATTCCCCATACAATTGCACCCACCACCCCTTATTTTGACCCTAGTCCTTCCTCTCCTCGCCCTCCCTCCCCCTGTAGTGTGTCTCTGATTTATAGTTGCTTGTTGATTTTGATTTTTACTTTGTATTAATTAGTCTTTTTCCTGGTCCCTTATTTAGGTTTTCTAAATTCCTGCTATGAGTGAGACCATCTGGTATTTTCCTTTTACTTTCTGACTTATTTCGCTGAGCATGATCCCTTCTAGCTCCATCCATGTTGCTGCAAACTGCATGTGTTTATCTTTTTTTGATTGCTGAGTAATATTCCATTGTGTATATGTACCACATCTTCTTGATCCAGTCATCTATTTTTGGGCATTTGGGTTGTTTCCATAGCTTAGCTATTGTAAATAGTGCTGCCATAAACACAGGGATGCAGGTGCCCTTTGAAATTAATGTTTTTGTATCATTTGGGTAAATACCGAGGAGTGGAATTGCTGGATCATATGGAAGCTCTATGTTTAGTAGGTCCAGAAATCTCCACACAGCTCTCCATAGTGGTTGGACCAGTTTGCACTCCCACCAACGGTGCAGGAGAGTTCCTTTTTCTCCACATCCTCGCCAACATTTGTTGTTGCTAGTTTTTTTAATATGTGCCATTCTCACTGGTGTAAGATGGTATCTCATTGTAGTTTTGATTTGCATTTCCCTGAATGTTACATGCCAGTTATATCTCAATAAAATAAATTCACCTGCACAAAGAAAGATATAGAGAGAGACTTGGAGAACTCACAAGTTGATTCAACATCTCCTTGATTCTTGAATCAACTTGTGAGTTCTCCAAGTCTCTCTCTATATCTTTCTTTGTGCAGGTGAATTTATTTTACTGAGATATAACTGACATGTAACATTAGTTTTAGGTACACAACATGATTCATTATTGGCTTTTATTTTGAAATGATCACCACAATAAGGCTGATTAACATACATCAACAGTTACAAATTTTGTTTATGTTGAGAAGTTTTAAGATCTACACTCTTAGCAACTTTATTTTTTTTTTGGCATAGAACTGGGGTACAGGCTAGAGGTACAGGAGGGTAAGAAGATTCATCAGAGACAAAGTGGGGAGCAGAATAGGTGGATTTATTGAAAAACACTGCTAAGGGGAGGAATGGGCGAGACAGGAGAGGTCTGCTGCGCCTTATGATTGTTAGATCCCTGGCCAGGAATTGAACTCAGGCCATTGCGGTGATAGAGCTGAGACTTAACCCCTAGGCCATCAGGGAGGTCCTTCATTTTGAGCAACTTTCAAATAAACAATATAGTATTATTAACTATAGTCTTTGTCTTTATTTATTTTGTATTATAGTGGCTGTCTTCATATTTATAGTTGAGAGATTGATAAATTTTATGTCCATCTATAGGAACTCATTTGTTTTTATGTCAAATGAACAAAGTATGTGCTATCTAAAGGAGAGAAAGATGGTGCAAGAGGGCACCATGTCCAAGGATGAACCTGGAGGTTGGCCTAACTGAGAAAACAAAAATTCACTATGAGTAACATTTCACTGTGTAAAATGTTCTACTTCGCCTCACTCCTACAACAACCTTGACAAGGAGATTGAGCAGATAATATTGGCATATTAGAAATACCAAAATGGAACCTCAAAGAGGGTCAGCTACTTCTCACATTTAGAAAGTGAGGCCAAGGCCTAAACACAATTTTTAGTGGTTTTTAATTTTCTAACTTTAAAATTTGTATGATTACAAAAGTTAGCTGGAAAAAAAAAACCTGTAGTTGATGTGATTAGGAACCACAATGCAGGTGTTTTTGAGCTGGATTTTAAAGAATGAATCAGTGCCAGTAGAGGGAGATGGGCCCTGTGCAGGAAAGCTAAAGGGCTCTAGGGAAAAGCACAGAAGTCAGGAAACCCATAAAGATAACTCTACCATAAAGTCTCTATGGAAACTGAGTGCCTAACATGCTTCCAGGCATTGTACGAGGCACTGGGGAAGATAGCAAACAGCCCATTAGGGAAGTAATGACATCTTTCTATACTTGTATTGGCAAAATTATTTGAGTGGAAAATAAAACTGCAGACATTAGGTGTGCCAAAAGTGGAGAATGTTTAATTTTGTTCAAATATTTCCTTTCACTGCACCTGAAAAGGATTGAATGAGTGTGTAAAGTTCTATGCACATCACTGCAACACTATTTTAATTGTAAAATGTTTGAAATAAGCAGGAATAAGGAAATGATTGAATAAACTGTAGTAAAGATTATACTCTGAAGTATTATAGAGCCATTAAAAATGTGAAGTGCCCCAGAAACATCAATTCCAAAGAGCACCTGCACCCCTATGTTTATAGCAGCACTGTTTACAATAGCTAAGCTTTGGAAACAACCCAAATGCCCAAAAATAGATGACTGGATCAAGAAGATGTGGTACATATATACCATGGAATATTACTCAGCATTCAAAAAAGATAAACACATGCAATTTGCAGCAACATGGATGGCACTGGAAGGGATCATGCTCAGCGAAATAAGCCAAAAAGAAAAAGAAAAATACCGGATGGTCTCACTCATAGCAGGAATCTAGAAAACTTAAATAAGGGACCAGGAAAACGAATAACTATAAGAAAGTGAAAATCAAAATCAACAAAAACTATGAACCAGAGACACTTTTAGGGGGGCGGGGGTGGGAGGGGAGGGATTGGGGTCAGAATGGGGGGGCTGCAATTGTATGGGGAATATAAAAATAAAATTTATTATTAAAAAAAAAAAAATGTGAAGTGCCCCTATATGTCCCCACTATGGATCAATTTATATAGCATGACTTTTTTAAAGGAAGATATTTATACGCATATAAATTCCTGGCAGTGATTATCTTTTAATGGTGCAGTGCAATATTACAGAGTAAGGGGAAAATGCTTATTCTTGGGTGATGCTTACTTTTCAATGATTTTTTTCCCCATGATTTTTCAAATAAATAAAATGATATCTCCAGTTCTTATGGCAAGTTTTCAGAAGCATTCTATAAATTATACTTGAGAAGTTATGAGCAGATGCACAGGGTATATTATTTTTTGAAGACAATAATACTAATTATATAAGCACTCTTTGGCTGCCAAGCACTGTGCTAAACAATGAGGCTATGAAGTTTAATAATAAGATTTCTATCAAACAAATTTGATTTCTAAAGCAAATATAATAGATTGGAGAATTAAAAAATAAAAAATTATAAGGGAAAAAGCAAAAGTTAACACTTATGCAGTGCAAAAAGTATATCATTAAAGACTGAAAGATTAATTCAAATTTTATATTTTAGCTGTCTGGAAACAGATTTTTTTTAGGCGTGAGGTATAATTAAAACAATAAATTGCATCCATGCTAAGTGTACAGTTAGATGCATTTTGATAAATATAAACTCACACACATGTAATGTTGCCATAATCTATGCATAGATATTTTCATCACCTCAGAATGTTCCATCCTGCCTTTTAGCATTCAATCTGCACATCCTAAGCAACCACAGATCTACTTTCTGTAGTCAGAGATTAGTTTGGCCTGTTTTAAATTTTGTATAAATTAAATCATATAATGTATACTCTTTGTGTCTGATTTCTCCTGCTCTGCATAATGTGAGATTCTTTCATACTGTGGTGTTTAACATTAGCTCATTTCTTTCTATTGCTAAGGAATATTGCATCAAGTGTATATACCATAATTAGTATGTTCATCTGTTGATGGACATTAGAGTTGCTTCCAGTTTTAGGCTATTATGACTAAAATCTTGTGTGGACTTATTCTTTCATTCTCTTAGGTAAATATCTAGGAGTAGAATTGCTGGATCATATGCAAGTTTATACATATCCTTTCTTTTATTATGTAACCTTACTGTTCACTTTTGTGGATTTTCATGATTATAAGACATATGAACTTGCCTGATGACCAGTATATATTTATACTCTATCTTTTCTTAGGCTAAGCCCCTAACAGGCTACCTAATATCTGGTCTACCTAATATCTGGCTCATTTATTGAGTGATGCTCAATAAATGGTTATTGCTTATTCCTTTAAAGGTAAGTGTTTACCCTGCTCAAAGGTGTTTCAAAATTATGTAACTTCCAGGTTGCATTTGCATTCTCTATCTCCTCTCCTTCCTCCAGCGCTCCATAGCTCTGGGTTACAGAATCCACCTTACATCCAATGTCTGTCACTGTTGCTGTCAGTGGGTAATGAGGGTGTGCTGGGCCTGATTATAAGGTGGAGAACCACTGAAACAGGCAATAACTCCACAGCCTCAGGCACATGTAACAGACCTGGCAGCAATAGGCTACAGCACTTGTAGGGGCAGAGATTAGGGGCAGAAACCAAAGGAGCCATACACAGGGCTTTGAACCTTGTGCCTCAGTTTCCTCCTCTGACAGATGGAGATAATTTATCTGTCATAATGTTCAGAATGAATTGAAGATGTCTGTGAGGGATTGTTGTATAATTATGATGTACAAAAGAGAGCATTTCCTACATGGTAGATACATAATTGGTATCTTTTGAGAAATTCTGAAGCTTTACAAACAATTTAATCTGAAGTCACTATCTTTTTCTTTCAAATACATTAAATTTTGTCTCAAAATTATAGTTAGCTTAAAGATGGACAATTCAATGTGATCTCAAATGTGTTATCTTACCCATTATCCTCAAAAAAGTTCTATTTTCCACAGAAAAATTTAAATATATCTTTTATTAGTAATGCTCCTAAGTAAAATGGGCTTTTAATTTCATTCTATGTCTTTATATCTTAGTAAAATCACCTAAAGAGTAGTTCATGCTTTATTTGGGGGGAAAAAGAGTCAATTAGATTTGAGCAACACAGATGCATTTTAATGAGTTTTATCACACGGTCTCTATCATTAGATCTGTAACTACTGTCAAGTGGAATGATTAGAGCAGAAAGTGCCAAAATTTAATTTCATAATGTATTACTGAAAAATGATCCAAGGCTTTGCATATGTATTTTTGTCTCATTTTAATTTTATTGCCCTCCTAGGATTATTTAACTAAGGCTAAATCTGTCCTAATCATCTATTATTCTATTTAACATGCTAAATGAAACTCATAGTTCAATGACAGCAGCATTTATAACACTCCTGAGATGTTACTACACTGAGCTGGGAGTTGCATAACATTTACCTACAGAAGATGTGTGAATAACAATCACATGAAGTCAAAGCAAGAAATAAAGGGCCAAAGACCCATATTTCCCATTAGTCAATGCTTTAATTTTTCCTTAAGTTTATGTCCATATCAGTCACTCTTCAATATTAATATTCAAGTTTAATGTTAGAAACACAGATTCAGGCTTTTAAGATTTACTATCTTGCTATGAATCATGTTTTTCACATTTCAGATGAGAATATTTCTCAAAAGGTTCCTAAGACACATAATTTGGATATCAAGTGAAGAAGTACCATTAAACAGCAGTAATAAATTAGATATTTCCTCTTCTTACCTGATGAAGTTTAATGGACATACGGATTCCAGGGACTACTACTTTTCTTAGCAATTCCATGTCAGCAAATATCCATTCATCTCGAATTGAAGAAATACGGAAATCTCCCTTAAACAGGGCATGCAATCCATAGAGGAATGACTCTAAATTACTGTTAAGATTAGAAATAAAAGTTTACATATTTTGACAAAGGTCTTCCATTACACTGATTCTTACATTTGGTTGTAAGTCAGAAATATCAAGGAGTGTTTTCAAAATAGAGACTCTATGAGCTATTGTCAGAAATTTGTATCATGGATAGGGTCTGTTTGATGTGGGACCCTTATTTATGAACCTGTGTGGTAGTGAGTCCATGAAAATAATACATGCAGATAGTATGCAAGTAAAAAGAAATTGTGGGCCTAACAGAAAACATGAAGTAATCATAAAAGAAAATTAAAATATGTGTTATCTTAATTCTAATTCAGTTGGATACATGTCAAAAAAGTCAGTTTATATTTTGAGACCCCAAATTTAGTGTACATGTATATTAAAAATATAAATGCTCTGAACCAAAATATGAGAGGAAATAAGAAAAATTAAAAAATGTGAATTGTTAGAAAAATAGTTTTATATGGGAGAAGACCAATCAGATGTTACAGGGTGATTTTTTTTAAAGTCTTAAATCCATTAAATTATGATTATAATTTTATTATAAATCAGCTGTTAGCCATTTAGTAGAACTCAATTATGTTCAGCAAAAAGATCTACACGAGACCTTTACAATAAACTTTGCATAGAATGTGCCCACAAAAAAACTATTTCTTATTTTCAGACTTAGGTTACACAGCATCACACAATCACTTTATGAAAACAGAAATGCCTTCCTTACCTGGACATATGATGAGATGCAGTGCCCAAAGCTCTCCGTCCCAGAACACAGAGTCCATAACAAAGAGTCACCAGGGATGAATCTTTGTCCACGTCCAGTGGCTGCAAAAAAAAAAAAAAAAAATATATATATATATATATATATATATATATTAGATATTAGAAAGGTACTTAAGCATTTAACAAATCAGAAGATAACTATTTAATAAATCAGCATATATAAAACTCAACTAGTACATACTTTCTATCTTCAAATAAAAGTACTCATGAAACCTAATGAAACAAAATAAAGTATGAATGTGCATAAAGAGGTTTTTTGAAATCTTTAAATCCTAAATCTAATATCCTATAATATTATAACTATATTCTATAAACTCAAATGAGCATGTTAAGTGGAGACATGGAAGATTTATATAAAATGCACAAATTTAGTCACATGAGATACAAATATGCAATGTCAAAGACTGAAAAAAAAAATGGATGGAATAAAATAAATAGCATAATAAATAACAGAAGAAAAATAAAAGATCTCCCAAATCCAGCTCATCTGTGGGATAGCAGGCAGCCTAAATAAATATAATGGGAGTTCCCAAAAAAGGAACAAAAATTTTGAAAAAATAATAACTGAAAACTTTCCAAATCAGATAAAGACCATATACATATGGCTTTAAGACTCTCAATGAACTCTAAGAACAAGAAACATGAAGAAAACTATGCCAAGGCACATTATAATTAAAACTGGGAAGTTTTAAGAGAAAAATCTTAAAAGCAGCAAATGAAAAAGGGAAATTATTTCATTACCCACATTATTTGTACAGGAGTAAAGATAGTAAAGATTGCATCTTAGATGCCTTTTGTTTACACTGATTTGGGTGAGGTAAATGGTCATTTGTGGCCTCAGTGACTCTCTTTTCCCTTGTTCATTAAATAAATCCCTGAACCTGAGTGGTCTTGCAATTGTGTGTGTGGGTGAAGAACTCAGACAGTGACAGGTAAACTATTTGGGTGATGTCCTTGGCCAGTTTTAGTGCCCCTTATTGGCCAGTATCACTTGCTACCTTGTTCTCTATACCCTGTGTGCTCATGACCTTGGATGGAGGACTGCCCTTCCCCTGGCTCTCTGCATACCTTCTCACCCCCATCCCATGGTACCTGTCAGTAATAAATCTTATGGCTTGACTCTGTGTGAGTATACTGAAACTGCATTCAATTAAAACGACCTTGGGGTTTTACTTCAGCAACGTGGGAGCACAGATGCTGAGAGAGCCACCTGCCAAACTTAAAAAGGGTTACCCTCCTCATTCTGTAGGTCATAATGTGCACTTTATTTCACCAGTTTACAGTCTCCAATACAAGGAGTACTTATCTGAACAGTGTGATTATGACAATGCAAATGAAGGGATGAGGATGCTTTAACCTGCTTTGGCAGAGACGACCAGTTGGCCCAACCATAATGAACCTTCAGGCTCTGTTACTTAGAAGGTTAGAAAAAGGAAAACCTGGAAAAATTGGCTTATAATAACCAATAGAAATATTCTTTCCATCTTTGGAAAAACAAATTCAAAAGAGATACAAATGAAATAAATTCTACCTTTGCTCTTCGGGAAGAACAATATTCTATCCAATTGAGGTAAATCACACAGAAACTCTCCCTGGATATGCCTGCTAGCCGATGGTCATAGTCTTCATCAATGTTTGGATTAAATGTTGGGTCTACATCAACATAATTTCGATCCGCACATAGACGCAGTCCTTCCTGCATTGTCTCATTAGCGAGCCACTCCTCTAACTTAGAAGAGGTTGTAACATAATAAATGATACCCTATTGAGGAAAAGGAAAAAAATGCAGGATAAAAAACAATTTGTATTAGCTCTAATTCCTCAGTAAATAAATTCCAACTGTTTATACTGATAGTATGACTCAAAAATATATTATTCTAGCTCAATACTACAAAGTATATCTTTTTTAAAGATGCTTTATTGAATGAAAAAAAATTTAATATTTAAAAAATCACCACCATAAATTCAGCAAGACAATCTCAAAACAATTCTAGTCCACAGATTTAAGAACTTTTGAATTTAGGTCTTTAAGAAAGATGAAAAACCTTTATAATGGTGCAACTATTTTGAGTTATTTCTCATAGAAAGCTATTAAACTATCTTGTGATCCTAGGGCAAGTTATAAAAATATAGTAATAAAGCAACAAACATATACATATTTAGAAACAAAAAAAGCACAGCGTTGTTGAAGCTGTCCACAGCCTCTGCAGTGTGGGTTTGATCCCGGCTGGCTAGGGAGATACCCATGTGGCATGGCAGATCTCTCCTGTCTCAGCTGCTGCTCCCCTCAGCAGTGTATTTCAGTCAATCTGCCTGTTCTATTCCCCGCTCTGTCTCTGGTGAATCCTCTCACCCTCCCGCACATCTGGCCTGTACCCTAGTTCTTGTATGCATGAATAAATAAATCTTAAAAAAAAAAATGCTTCAAAATAAACTTCTTCACCTACTTGAGGTTATGTTTAACCAAACATTAAATAGAAGATTCAAAGTTACCCATAAGCACAAATAAGGTGGTATATATGGTAGTAACAGAGGCAATGAAAAATTCAGATTTGGGCCAATAAAATTTAGCACACATATCCCTCTTAAAATAATGGCTTCACTTGCAAGTCTTCAAATCATGACCATCCCGTATTTCTGTGACATTTTTTGCAAAAATAGAATACCTGTGCAGAAAAGAACCAACCTTGCCAAAAGAGAGGTTCGCTGTTTGCACACAGGAGGTAATCTCTAATCCCTTGGTATGTCCTAGCTGATAGTCTTTCTTCACCTGGGGGCTTAGAGTCATATGTTACCAATTTGACTTCTGAAGGAGCTAGAGAATAAGGTTGGATGGACAACCACATCTAAGTGGCTACACGTCCTACATACTGAACCTCAGGGGAGCGTCCTTGGTAACATTTGGTAACATTTCATAAGTCTTGTCACACAAGGTTGTTGGGAGAAATATCCATTGCTTATACACACTCCACTGGGAGAGAACAGTTAGAAAGTCACGTCTTGGTGTCCCTGGACCCTGCCCTGTGTGCCTCTTCCTTTGGGTGACTTTAATTTTTATCCTTCCACTGTAATAAATCTTAACCATCAGTGTAATGGCTTTGCTGAATTTTATGAATCCTTCTAGCAAATTATTGAACCTGAAAGTGGTCTTGGGAACTGTGAAATTACAGTTGGTGTTACAAGTAAGGTTGGTCTTGAATCTTGTGATATTTTATTCAGTTGTTAAAAGCAGTAGTTAACAGCAGGGCTTAAGAATCAGACAAATCTGAATTTTAAATCCTTAGCTTCACTTGCAATTAGACTACTCTGGGAAAGTTAACTTCTGATGCTTAATTTGCTTATTTGTAAAACAGGACTGCAATATTCCTTTAGAAATTTAGGCAAGATACATGTATGTGCATGTATATGTATAGGCAATCCTTAGCATAATGTCTAAAACATATGAACTACAAATGGTAGGTGTTAATATTAGTAAACAAATGAAATAAGTTCCATTAAAGGAATAGCAAGATGGTCACAGGTATATTTTAATGACTTTACTGGATTCTAGGGAATTTAAATCTTTATTCAGAAGCAAAGCAGATATTTAAAAACATCTGTGTGTAAGCACACATACACATGAGAGTCTTTTCCAAGAAGAGCTTCTGATTATCAGAAGATCCAAGTAGGCATAGTCCCTTACCTTAACATAGTAAGTAGTGAGCACTTTCCGGAGATCAAAGACTTGAAGCATAGAAGCAGCACTATTGTCAGTGATACTATAACCCTCCAGGATATACTTAGTTACTATCACTTCCCAAGCTAGCCAGCGCTGGCTAAATGCAGCATTAAATGAAAGCACATGAGGAATATGGCCAGGTTCACAACAGCAAAATCCTTCATCTTCTTCAACACCTTCAGTAATGGCCTCTACTTCCCGTTGTTGACAATAAGTACCTTAAAGAGATAGAGAACATTACAAAAAAGGAGAAACCATGAGGTAGAAAAAGGAATGTTTCAAAAATAAAAGAAGTTAGAAAAAAGACACCTATTATAGGGATTGAAAGTATGTGGTTAATTTGCCTTAGAATGTTCATTAACAAACTACACCAAGCTCCAGAAATCAGGCATATTATATATAAATTCCTCTCCTGCAGAATCACAATACGCATTAGGACACTCAAATTTCTGGAACTAGTGCAGCAATGTAACCTTAATTTTGATACATCAATTCCCAAACTTTTCAAATTTGGATTTATAATTATATTCAAATGAAGTGAATAAAGGTACATCTCATTAAGTTTTGAGGACAATGAAAGTAGAATCATCCCAGGGCAAAATATATAGACTGACATAGAGAACTCAAAAGAACCTGAGCTTAAATTACTAGCATACTGTCCATTCTGTAAACAAACATTACCTAAATCCTGCTAATTTGGGTATATAGCTTATAATAGTTTGTTATAATTTATTATTAAATACACAATTAAAAGTTTCTATTGTCAAGTCTAACAATAATCAGTAAGGGGCCTCCCCTGGTGGTGCAGCAATTGAGCGCTGGGCTGCGAAGCTGCCCGCAGCCTCGGCAGTGCCGGTTCGATCCCCAGTCGCCAGCGAGGGTCCCACATGGCACGCAGACCTCTCCTGCCACCCGCTGTTCCCCTCAGCAGTGTATTTTGTCAGTCTGCCTGTTCTGTTCCCCGCTCTGGCTCTGGTGGATTCTCTCACCCTCCCGCGTTTCTGACTGTACCCAGTGCTTGTATAAATAAATAAATAAATCTTAAAAAAATAAGGCAGTAAGATTACATTATTGACATTTCAGGTTTACCTACTAACAAAGTTTCAATTAGATATGAGGTCTGATTATTCTACAGACTACCAAGTAATTCTTTGAAGTTACATTCATTGATACAAGATACTTATCAACAGGCTTCTCTATTATTAGTGTTACTGGAATAAAAACATAAAATCAGATTAAATTTAGAATCTAGTGCCACCAAAACATCATTAATCACATTAATGTTAATTTTTTCTTATTCTGTGGTCTTGCTTCCATTTAATTTATAAACTGCTTATATTAATGAAGGTCTGTAAGATGATTATACTTAATTTTATAAAGGCACATAGTTGAGTTACATTGTAAGTGGGAATGTGCAATAATGTTTTCCTTTAGAGAGAATATCTATACCACCCATGTTTAACACCTATCATTTGCAGTTCATATGTTTTAGACATATGCTAAGGATTGCCTATACATATACCTGCATACATGCACATACATGTAGCTTGCCTAAATTTCTAAAGGAATATTGCACTCCTGTTTTACAGAGAAAAAGATGCCATGAAATGTAGACCCGGTTAATGGTAATATGATGAAAGACAAGGCTAAAGAGGTAAGCTTGGTCATGCTAATGAACTTACCGTTTGGTATTCTAGAAACCTCTAATTATATTATTTTATTTTCTTATTTAATTAATTATGTGGGCAAACACTTCCAAATACATTACACAGCAGTGATAAGAAAAATCCTGTCTTGACTGGGCATTAACAGGAAAACTTGCTGGAGTTGATTGACCATTACAAGTTTTAATTTGTTTAATTAAATGTGCATGGTATACATAGACATTTTCTTCAGAATAAAGATGTATATAATTTTATAAAGTATTTTTTAAACCAAAAATGGAAGTGAGTCTTGTGACAGCTTTTGAGAGGGTATTATATTGTTTTTCTCCTTAGATCTATTGAAGATAACTTCTATTCATTTGCCTTTTAATACTTAATTTCAAAAATGAAAAATAGCTGAATTGTTGAGAAATACTTAAAAAGGTATTCCTGGTTTTAGCTTTTTTGGGGGGTTGAAGATTTTTGCATCTATATAAGTAAATTAAACTGCAGTTACTCAGCCAGTTAAGTCATATTTTGACATCAGTGTTACACTGGTTTTATAAGAAGCCTTGAGAAATTTTCCTTCTTACCTATGTGCTAAAATAAATTACAGAGGGCAGAAGAATTATTCCATTTCTTGAAGAAACTTCCTGAGTCTGAATTTTTTAAATTATGGTAAGGAGTTGGATCTATTCCTTAGGTTGTATGTGTTATTCCTTTTTTTAGTATATTTTCTCATCTTTCTAGGAAGTCAGTAAAAGGTTTTTAAGTAAAAGAAACAACATAATGAGAGCGACACTTTATGCAGATCACTTTGTAGTAGTATATGAGAAGAAACATAGGGAATTTGGAGGTTTTCACATTTGATCAAGAGAGACAGAATGAAGCTCTTGATTGGAACAACAGAATAAAGTGAACAGCGTAATTGATTTCAAGTAGGATGTTCTTATTCTACCATTCAAATCCCAAGAATAATTTCTACAACAACATAGCATAGTAACATATTGTTTAAAAAAATGAAGTCAACGAGAAGGACAGTAATTAACAATTATATTGAAAAAAGATTTCAAGGAACTACTGCCAATTACTTCCTGGATTAGACAGATTTTTATTCACCCCATCATGAATTCTACTGTAAAAATAATTATGAAAACTAGATAGCTTAAAATTAATTTGAGCAGAAATTAAAAGTCAGTCAACCTAATAAGTTTCTGACCCATAAAGTTTGACTTGGAAACCATTCTTGGTAGAAGTAGCATGTACCAATAAAATATTACCATGGTAGAAGTTCTAATCAAAAATTTTGATAGGCAAACTAGTTACTCAAAATGTTGATATAAAATTCACCTTGGAAAGAACCTTGAGAAAAATCAGTAAAATAAAAATGTAAGTAAATAAAAAATTTAAGAGTTAGTTTAACCAAGACCTGTAGGAAATTAAGAAATTTATTTAATTTAGTATCACTTAAAATTCAGCATTCACTATGAGAGACATTAAAATCAAAGGAATTAAACTGGCTTATTAGAGTATAGCCCACAAAAGACCTCAAAATGCCTCACAGATCCAAATATCTGCCAGGCAAAATATGAATATTTTCTATTTAATATTTTGAGAGACAGGAGATACATGGAATAGGGGTAACACTTTGAAGGAAAGAAAATAAGCAAATACCACAACATTTAAGCAAGCATATAATCATACCTTAGAGAGTTCTCAAGGGAGGAGGAAGGAGGAAAAAGGCCATATATTTACATTATTTAATCATTCCACAAAATTAAACAATTATGACCTATATGCTAACTGCTATGAATAGGTGTTGGATACAGAATGAAGTGAATGAATGAATATGAATCAAGTGAAACAGGTATGATTTCTGTCCTTGAGAAGTTTACAATCTATAGCAAAGGTCTATAAAATACAGCCCTGGGAGGGCCTCCCCGGTGGTGCAGCGGTTGAGCGCTGGGTTGCGAAGCTGCCGGCAGCCTCTGCAGCACCTGTTCAATCCCCGGCTGCTCCCCGGCAGCCAGAGGAGGGTCCCACATGGCGCGAAGACCTCTCCTGCTGCCCGCTGCTCCCCTCAGCAGTGTGTTTCGTCAGTCTGCCTGCTCTGCTACCTGCTCTGGCTCTGGTGAATTCTCTCACCCTCCCGTGCTTCTGACTGTACCCAGTGCTTGTATAAATAAATAAAAATAAATCTTTAAAAAAAAAAAAAATACAGCCCTGGGTCAAATCTAAGCTAAGAATGATATTTATACTTTTAGAGGGCTGTTTAAAAGGAAAAAAAAAAAGAATAATATGTAATAGAGAATGTGCATAGCTTCAAAAGCTTAAAATTATTTTATCTGATGTTATATAGAAAAAGTTTGCCAATCCGTGGACTAGGGAAGAATTAAACTTGAAGGGAAGAATTAAACTTGAAACAAATAAATATAAAATTATAACTATGCTTAATACTAAGGAAATAAAAACAGGATGATATGAGAATCATGTGAGACAGGCGATTGGTAAAGGATCTCTGAAAAGGTGATATTTAGGCTAATTCTTGAAGATAATTAAGATATCAGCTAGGCGGAAGAATGGTGAGAGGAAGGGAGATGGCTGGTGTTTTCTGGGCCAAGGGAAGGGCAATAAGGAGCCCTTAATATAGAATTCATTACAGCTGAAACACAGACAAAAGGTCAGTATATAGACTGAGTGAGGAGGATGGTGTAAAAAGAGATAGAAAAAAGCGGCAGAGACCAGATCATACAATGTTGTATGACATGTTTAGGAGCTTGAGTTCTATTTTAACACCATGGGAAGCTACTGAAAATGCTAAGCATGGAAGACACATGATCAAATTTGCCTTTAATAAAAAAATCATTATAGCTGATTGACGATTTACAGGTACCCAGTATGAGTAGAGTCAATAGGGAGTACTCTGTTCCCAGACAGATTTGATTGCAGTTTTGCCTGGCAAATATTGAGAGTTGGACTGCAAAGAATGTACCCAAAATTGTACTTGAATCTGTTTGGTACCAGAGTGTGAAAGCTGGGAGACTGGAAATTTGGATCAATTTAGAGAATTTCTGATGAACATGATGAACATATAAGAAGGACCCCTTCCAGATCACACATAGAGCTAGATAAAATAGTCTTCACATGCACATTTGTAAAAAAAAAAATTAAATTTAAATATAAGTTATAAGTATAGTGATGAGAAGGTGCTGACTTTAGGGTGACTGTAACTGGGTTAGATTTGAACAGCAGTGGTTAAGAGCATACATAGAAGAAATGGAATTAAGGTCCTGGTCTCCTGATGGAGCAAAAAGAATTATCTAAAACAAGAATAGAACATTTTGAAAGAAAGGAAGAGGGAACTGATAGAGGGAGTTGGACAAAGAAAATAAACTAACTTCTAGAAAAGCTTACTACATTAACAAATGTATTACATAACAAAGGTGCATGCAGCCTTCTGATTACACCAGGGGGAAACTAAAACTATAGGCACAGGTCTGACTTGATCCTCTTCCAGGTGAAAAATACCTAATGCATAGATAAGATCAAAACACAGCATAGAGGGCCTCCCCTAGTGGCGCCGTGGTTGAGCACTGGGTTGCGAGGCTGCCCGCAGCCTCTGCAGCGCTAGTTCGACCTCTGGCCACTGGCGAGGGTCCTACAAAAAAAAAAAACCCAGCATAGAGGCTCTCTCTAAAAACTCAGTCCAAATGGACCCTAGAGTGGAAAGATATAAATTAATAGGACTTTCTTCAATTCCTTAATATGATTTTTTAGTCATGCTTATAAAGTATTCAACTTACAGCAGGTGATTACATCAAATGGATATGTTTCTCAATGTATGATTTTCTGTGTAAAAATAGCTTCATTTGTCATATATAAAATTATTGAAGCTGGTGGGAGAATTAAAGGGATGGGCTTATGGGCTCTGGGTTTATTTTAGGGGTGATGAAAATATCTTGAAACTAAACAGGTGGTAGTTATGCAACATTTTGAATGTACTAAATGCCACTGATTTGTTTTACCTTTAAGATGTTAATTTTGTGATATATGAATTTCACCTCAATAAAAAATGGCTGAGGACATGGCATTTATATGAGGTAACTTGGTTAGGTATATCTGCCTCATAAAAACACAGCATTCTATGCTGTCAGTCATATAACAAAAATAAGGAACTGGTTACAAAAAGAGACTGGCAAAAGCAAGCACAAAACAACAGAAAAACATTGCCAGGAAAGCAAGGCAATTATATAGTAATAATTCTACCTTTCCATATATTGGGCACCATAAAAATGATTCTCCTCTGAATATGAAATGTGGAAAAAAATCTAAAAATTACTCTAACACCTTTTCTTACAACTCCAAAGGTCTAATTTATAACTTTTGACTTGAGATATAAGCACATAAATTTAGGTGTCACAGAAAAACACTATACCAATGAAAGGTAAATGAGTGTCTTACCTCTGAATTCTAGTCCTCGCAGCTGGAAAGTGACCAGTCCATTGCCTATCTCTATAAGGTGTACAAGTGCGTTGAGGTAGTCTGAGGCAAGAATGAAACAGTCCCCTGTGCTGTAGTTTCCCCACCGTCCAAGGAGCAAATCACCACAGAGACTGTGTTGTAGGGATCTGGTTAAATGTTCATAAAAGATGGAATTCAGATTGTTGTCATCTGATCCTAAAAGAAGGGATTAAAAAAATGTCAAACTTTATCTATCTTAAGACCCCTTTATATCAACCAACAAGACTGTTTAAAATTTTAAAACTAGTTTCCAGTTACAGCTGTGTCTCTATTTTTTTGAGAGGAAATTAATATTGAAACCATTACAATTTCTATATAAAAGTGAAATGAAGGGTATAATGGGGAAAGTTTCAAAATTAAGAGTTAGAAGCCATATAATGTCTATTAATCTCTGGTTTCCATCCATAAAATATGGGAATGGATTAGATGAAATCTACAGTATTTTCCAATTTTTTAATAGTTCATATTCCTTTTTATCAATGTTCAATAAACTATGCCTTATAATTTAAACCACACAAGAGAAATGAAAAAGATAAAAGAAAACTGAACTAGAACAAAAAGACATACTGGTGGAAGTGAGTAATACAATACAAGACAGTATAAAACAAAAAGAAGCCAGTTCAAAAACAAGCCTGTATATTGAGATGACGAATATTAGCTTAGTAGAAATAAACAGTATACACAGAAACAGCAGAATAGAACCTACGAAAGTTAGTAGAATCATCCTTTAAGAAAAAAATTAAGATGAAACATCACCAAATAAAGGAGATAACTATATCTAGAAGGAACACCCAAAGCATCAGTCTGTAATTGGGTGCCTAGACTATAGGATTAGAGAAAGGCAAAATATACAAAGCTTAGTAATTATTTTAAATTCAGCTGAACTAAATAATAAAGTATAATAATAATTTATTACTTATTTGTGCTCAACTTAAAATAATTAAGAAAATAATTATTAAGAAAGTGGAACCCAGACTCTAATGTCAGTAAAAGGGCTATATTTTAGTATTCTGTTTGCCTGTTACAAAAGTGTACCTATTAATTAAGGTCAGGGTCTTTTTATTAGTGTCATGAAGATTCCAAGTCACTTACAAGGACATGTGAAAGCTGGGATGGTTGCTTTGTCTACCAGAATGTGATGAACAACAACCATTAAAGCCAAACAACTACTACTCCTAAATCCAATTTTGTAATTATAATAAATCAATCTGATTATTATAACTCAGTTTCTCAAGCAGACAGAGCAGATGAAGAATCTACAAGTCAAAAGAATACAAATATTACAGTTTATTTCGGTTGATTTGGGAAAATATTTCTTATAGTAAATTAATACATTGGAAAGCTAGTTGGTATGTTAATCTCTTAGGCTGGGGAAGTGAGATCTGTTCCCTCTGTGTTTGATTACTAGTGGGTGGGCTGACAAAGGGTGTTTCTCAAATGTCAAAACTATGAACTAGAATTTAAATAACACCACCACCAAACTGCCATCCACTGAAGCTCTGTCTTGAGTGGCTATTTGGTTCTCTTAGATAACATCTCTGTAGAAAACAAATGAAACGTATTGAAGTTAATAATTACTTAAATTTTGAGGAAGGTGGGAAGCAAACATATTAATAAAACATGTAGCGGTCACAATTAGAACACATACTCTTCAAAATAGCTGGCCACATGGTTTTACTTTGTGTTCTACCTTTTAACCCACATAAGAAAAATCTTTAAATGGTGTTTCTTATTCTGATCAATATTCTTACACTGAATTTTATAAAAGATGGATACTTTATAGATACTTTAATTTACATATATTTTGCTATAGCTTAAAAAAAAGCAGATGATTTTTAGATCTTTAAAAATGAACATTTGTAATCCACAGGGGATTCCTAAAATGTGGGAGTGAACTTTAAAAGAAAATACTTATGTATGTGTACAAGATAAATGTGTGTATGTATGTGTATAAAACAAACTCTTTAGATTTACTTCTTCATTCACAAGCAGAGCTATTACCTGGATTTCTATCAAGCTGGGAAGCCAACCTGGTATTTGAATGATCCACTCGTTTTGTGCTGAAGAGGCAAAAGAAAACATTTTAGCAAACTTTTTATATTTAAAAAATGTTTAATAATTTAAAGGGAGTAAACAATACAATATAGATAAAATAAGTATTATCACTTTATGAGAATCTCCGGGAGAAACCAATGATTGGTAAATTGATAAAATTCCTGGTTAGCACAATTTTAGGATTTCAGGATTTTATTTTACTCTTTCACCTCCGTCATACATAAACACAGCAGTTTTTTCCTAACTGGTGTTCCACAGAATAATCTGTAAGGACATCAATGAGTCTAATGTAAAAAATAAAATTGACCAGGATGAAAAAATGCATAATGTATACAAATCTTAAGCTTACAGTGCATGGAGCTCTCTTTACAAGGGGAAAGCACATCTATTAATGTCCAGTGGTATAGTGTTCTTTAGAACAGTGGTTTCCAAAATGTGGCCCACAGAACACGAAGTAGGTAACTCAAGATCTTCTCAGAGAGTTTTCCAGATCAAAACTATTTTCATAGTAACACTGAGCTGTTATTTGCCTTTAATTATTGTGCTGACAACTGCTCTGATGGTGCAAAAGAACTGCTAAGATTGCTGGTTTTAATATGAATCAAGGTAGTGGCAGTGAACTGTACTATCGTTTCACTACCCACTCAAGCACAAGAAAATAAATTCTAATTTTGTTTTTAAAAAAGCAAAAAATAGTATCTTTATTAAACTGCATACCCTCAATAAATGTACTTTTAAGTTGTGTATGGCAGAATGCACACAAAGAACTGCTGCTGTATTCTGAAGTAGGACAGTGGGACGATGAGGGAAACCATCCTCAAGGGAAAACATTTATGCAACAGTTTGAATTGCATGCAGCATTTGCTTCTTTTATTCATGGAATTCTTTTATTTATAGTTGACAGATAAACAACAATAATTCAAACTTGGTTATTTGATAGGCATTTCTCAAAAATAAAGTGAGTATGTCATTTCATGGAAAACAACTGACAGTATCTACTGCCAATAATAAAAATCAAGTTTTCAAAAAAAAATTATAATTTTAGGAAACACATATTCTACCATGAGTTTGATAGCTTCTCAGTACTTAAAGACTTTTCTTTTGAGATTGGTAGTGATATGAATATTTTTTAAAATATCATGCAGTGGAATGTGTCAAATTTTGGAAGATCTATATTACTGAGTGAACCAGTATGTTGCAAATGATAGATATGTTATAAGAATATGTATGGATGAAAGAGCCACTTGAAGTATAAGGTCTATTAGTGGAATTTAACATAACATAGTTCCAAAAATTCATGGATATAGTTTTAGATTCCACATTGCAATTAATCTTTAGGAAACTATTTATTGGCTTTGATTGAAGGACCAAAGAATAGCCACAATGTCTGAAAAAAGCTATTAAAATACTTCTTTTTCAACTATATGTCTGTGTAGGTCAGCTTTTCTTCATATATTTTAATCAAAACCACATATTGCAACAAATTAAATGCAGACAGAGATATGAGAATCTGTCTTTTATGAAAGTAAATATAAAAGAGATTTATAAAACTATAAAGATAATGGCATTCTCACTTATATTATTGGTGGGATAGGAAATATAGTTATCATCCTTACAAAAATGTTATTTATATTAACATATTATGGGTTGTTTTATTATTATTATAAAAATTAGTTAATAAACATTCAAAATATTCTGAGTTTTTACTCAGAACTACTCATCATTGATACAGTAAATATTGGTTGGTAAAGCCTATATTTAAAAAAAAAATCTTTGGAGACTTCAATAACATTTGAGATTATAAAGGGGCTCTGAGACAAAAAAAAGTTTAAAAACTTCTACCACTGAACATTATCTTGGACTAAATTTAAGTTGGCTCAGAAGAAAATAATAGGATGGGAATAATACTTATATTTAACAAAAAGGAAATCATCACTGTGGCTTTTGATAAAAAAGACCAGAATGAAAGTTTCAAATCCACAAGATGATTGTATAAAAGTTAAGATTACCATTTTCACCTATTATATGTGCCAATTATAAAAGAGTAGAAAGGCAGTCATGGGGAACATAGAAATATAAATTAGTATAAGCTGTTTTCTGAATCAATATGTTAGTACACACTGAAAACCTTTAAATGTTTAAACTCCCTAACCTCTCTGATTCCTCTTTTTTTTTTTTTTAGTTAAAAAAAATGTGGAGAGATTAGATATAAGGATAGTTACTGTGCATTAAACAACTTGCCTAGGAATTAAGCCTAAATAGAGAAAATACTTCATGTACAAAGATGGTCATTAAAAACGTACCCCTCATAAAAAATCAGAACCACCTATAAAAATTTAGCTAAAGAACATATTTCTAAAAAAACTTTGAGAAGTTGATGACTATTATAATGATGAAACATATATCATAAAGTTTCAGGATATTGTTAACGTGGAACAATCCTAAGAAATAGCATTAAAAGGGGAAAATGAGCAGATTAAATTACAAGTATTTTTTTTTAACAAGTATGTTTTTTAAAATCTTATTAATAGAAAAAAAGAGTAAATAAGAGTAACTTTTTCTTAGTTCTCTAATTTTACATAATTTTCAAACTTTGAAGAGTTGAAAAATTTTGCAAAATACTTCACTAAAATTTATTACTTATAAGAATGTTGTCAATAGTTTCTCAGTAAAAATAAAATTCAGGTGTTTTGTTTTACTCACTTATAGTCTCTTTCCCAGAATTTCACAGGCCGAACATATGAAGTGATGAATATTGCACTTCCCAGAAAGGGATTTAGGGGAGTAGAAAAGAAGGCTGATACAGCAGCCTGAACAAACAGCATGGCTGAATCTTTGGAAAAACTGGTTAAGGATCTCGGCATTCCTGAGTGCAAGCACACGCACACAAACACATACACACAAAACCATTGCACAACACACTGCAACTATAGCAATCAACAAATGAACTTCATCAGAGGAATACAGAAGAGGGCATCACTGGAGAGTGTAGGGGTCACCATAATAAGACACAGTCTAGAAAGTACAACCTGGCATCATGATTTGAAGAGAGCCAAGTAAATATCTGCCAAATGTATTTGGTAAAAATACCAAATATTTTACCATATTTGGTAAAAAATATGATTCTTAGGTAGATACTCAGATTTAATTTTTCAGAAGATTAAAACTAAAATTTATAGAAATAAAAAGTCTATTTAACATCTATGTGGTTACTAACCTTTACTTTTGCTTAAAAATATTTCTAAAACTTTTTGCATTCATGTATGAAATATTCCTGGCCTTTCAATAGATACAGAAACATAAACTTTTAAATATGCATTACTTAGTTATAGAACCTTGAGACTCTTCTCAGGTTTAGGTGATCTGTGGCTACAGATGTTAATACAAGGTATTAGTGGGGGTATAGATTTTAAAATTTTGATAATCTGACACACAGTGATGCTTACAAACCAACATTCTCTTGAAGGATAACATTGCCCATTTCTATAGGAATTTAATTAGAAGGATACGAGGCACTGCAAAGGGTTGAGCAAAAGCATGAAAAGCAGAACCCCAGGTAATCTGCCATGGGGCAATGTAGGTGTACACAAATTGTAATTTATAAAGGAGCTCCCAAAGCTGTAGGAGGAAAAAAGAAAAAGTCAGTAAGAAACTTATCAGATATTTATTTGAATTAGAAAAATGAGATACCCTGAATTATATTTTCTTTCTAATAGGAAACAGCACTGAAATTATGTGCCACTTGCATAAAATGAAAAGCTAAGAGGATACTCTATCAAACACTGCATATATATTTTTAAGTAGAGACATATAACTTATTTGTGTTATCTGTTTAAAAAGTTTCTGTCCTCTACTGGCCATATTATTACTACTACAAGCAAAACTACAAGCAAAACAAAGCCAGGAAATCTAGATGACTATAAAACTTAGAGAATACAAGTAATATGTTTATTCTAAAACATATTTTCTCGAATGTTAGTGTTTTGGAAACTGACTATGTTTCAAATGCAGTACCAAAGGAATGTGAAAGCACCCAGGCAGGAGATAAAAGTTTTAACAGCAGTCACTGTCTGTCTAAAAATTCGTAGTGTGTATTAGGTGTCTGTTCATCAATTGTTATTGTCATTGGAAATAAAATACACACTTTAATCTTATTTAAATTAGGTCCTGTTTTGTTGTTAAACATATCTTCAATAACGAAACAGAATTACTGTGTTTGCCCAAGACTGCCTCTGTATTTAGGCCAATGCAAGACAATTCTTAAAACACATCCTAGTATCTTAAAACCAAAAGGTTGACTAATTCACTGGCATGATTAAGGCACCCAATACCTTATCTTAAAATCTAAAATTTAGCTCCTTTACTAAGAACTTATTTAGTTTCCTTCTAACAAAGAAATCATAACTTCAAACAATAGAAATTACAGATGAACCCATCTCTTCTTTGCCATGGCTCAAAATTAGATTGGCAAAACCTCAGTATTACTGTGATCAGGATGACAAGTGAAAGCAGCAAGTATATTTTCAAGATGCCATCATAACACTTAAAAGCAGTGATTCAGAAAACGCTGCAGACTTAAATGCAAATCAGAGTGTACTCAACTTAAGACTGTAATATTGGAAAAAATGATACCTCATTATATAGCTAAGTAGTTAGTAGGTAAAAACACTTTTGGATATATATTGAGTAATTTTTTCTTGGAAGATTAAATCAATGGTATATCTTACAATGATATCTTAAAATAACACTATATCAAAGGAGATCCTTTCCTTTGAAGATTACTTGCTTATTTTCACTGAGAAATTCTATCAAGTTATCATATAAAATGCAAATAACTTAAGGGCAGAGCTTCCTCCATTTTCATCATTGACATAGCCTAAGCCTCTAGAACAGTTTTGGAACTTGGTATGTTCTCAAAAAATGATTTGTTTAACAAACGAAAGTATTAAGAAAATCCAAACTTATCAGAATTAATTGACTATTAAACAGACTATTTCAAGACTGACTAATTTATATTTAACTACAACTTTTGCTTTTTTTAACTAGTGTAATCAAATGAAATACAATTTCCCATCTAACTATTTAAATTTGTGAGAAACCATATGCTTCTTTATACAAACAATTCTCTGATTAACTTCCTGATTTCTTCCTTTGGTTAACCATGCTTACTCAAAGAAGAAATGATCAAAATGCATACAAATTTGTGATTGAACACACAAAATATTGCCACATTTTAGAAGTTATTTGTTACAACATTTATCACAGTATTTTGAACCTGACCATCATTAAGACCTTGTTCATACTGGTAGTATTCATTTGTCATCTTCCCAAACTAGGTCACCTCTACCACTGCCATAATCTCTTAAGCTGTTCTCCATACCTTTGGGTTCTCTCTTCCCCAATTCATCCCAAATGTGGCTGACCAGGCTAACTTTCCTAAAATTGGTCATTCATTGTGTTTTGTAGCTGCTCATATGCTTCAGCTCTCTGTTAACCTATCAAATGGGATAATTAATATATGTCAAAGTCCTTTGCAGGTGGTTAGTGTTAACATGACTTCTAAACTCTATTTAATTTACAAATAATTTTGACAGCACAATCTATTTCATTTAGAAAGGTAGTGTAGCTTAACAAAAAAACTCTTGGAATGGGAAGCAGAAGTCCCACATTTTATCATCTCATTTGTAAAAGTACTAAAAGCCCCTATCTTATGGGTGGATAACAGACTTTATAAGTATTCTGTAAATTTCAGAGCATTCTACAAATGTCATCATCACATTAATTTCTGATTATTCCCATAAAGCCTCATTGCCCCTAGTATCTACCACCTTCAGTTAGCTATCAGGTTGTTTCCCCCCTTTATCCACCCAGAAGCCCATAGTCCAATTAAATTATGGACCGCATCTATTTTTAAAATTATTCAAAACCACACTCCCTTTTGAAGACCCTGAATATTTAAACATATCTATTTATTAGTTTCCTTAATTTTTCTATGTAATTTAATTTTACTTCCCCAGCTATCGCATGAAACATTCTTTTGTGAATCACAGTGACTAGCATTGTTTAAGGATTCTAATATGCTCCTAAATAACTGGATGATTGACAAAAGATATTACTTACAAGATAATAAAGCAAATGATAGCATAATCCTCACTAAAATAATGTGTTACTTAGGGAAATATTTTTTATAGATAAGGATATTCCTTTCTGTGATAAGTTACCTTGTTGAAGAGTATGGACATGAAGAAGAGATCCAAAAGCATAGTCTCTGAGAAAGCTTCATAGTCAATTTTGAAAAAGAGCACAGTAAAGATGACTGTAACGTACTGGTAGGTGGGGCTGCTAAAAGAGGATCGTAGCAACTTCAGACCAGCAATGGTGATCATTAAAGCACCTAATCTATAATATAAAGAAAACACAATTCATCAAACAATGACTGAAAACTTCAGAAAATCTATTAACTTCAGAAAAATTACCATTGGTTTATTAAGTGTAAAATATATATTAAGTTTAAACATCGAAAAATAATTTAGAAAGCTAATCACATACTAAACTACTATAATACTCCCTTTTAATAATGTGTTATGATTCTTAAGCTTTGTAACCATGTTTTATTTTTTATTTATTTTTTTGACACAGAAGAACTGGGGTGTAGGCCAGAGGTATGGGGGAGTCAGACACAGAGTGGGAAGCAGAACAGGCAGATCTACTGAACTATACTGCTAAGGGGAGCAGCAGGTGAGACAGGAGTGGTCTGCTGCACCATACGTGGGTCAGCTCCCTGGCTGGGGATCGAACTCAGGTTGCCAAGGTGATAGCATTGAGACTTAACCTCTAGGCTACCAGGGAGGGCCCCTGTAAGCATGTTTTTAAAAAGTAACAATATTATAATTCTGACATTTAGTTCCAATTTCTTAATATTTTTATTGCTTTAATATCAATTGCATTTAAGCACATGAAAAACGTATCAGTGCTTACCTAATAACATGTACCTATTTTAGTGGGTAGGCATACAGGATGACTGCACAGGCAACTAATCACCTATGCCATACAACTAACCACTATATGGTGTGCTTTAAGTAGTATATAAATATAGTCACTACATGGTATGACTTACATACTACACAAAAATAGCCATCTCCCAAATGTACTACAGAATATTAAAAATTAAATTAATTTTACTTTTTAAGACAAATTTCCCCTGAATTTTTATTTCTCACAGTGCCTTACATCAAAAAGACAGTGACTGTTTACTTGGTCAATAATGAAAGATACTGCTTATAGTATCCCCCAGTAGTCAAAATTAGATTATAAGAAAAATGCACTTACTCTATATCCAGTTTTTTGGGGCTAGCAATAGTCTCTGCACTGCTACTAAGTTCATTGAGAACAATCAACGGATAGATGATATTCTTCTCCACAAAAAGAAGCCACACATGAAGTTTCTCAAACCACATCATAGTGGCTGCATCTAAAAAAGCAATATAATTCAAGACTACACGTAATCTAATGTATAAAACAGTTTGACGATGTGATGAAAAAGGAAAATCTTAGAGCTCAAAATTCACCTCTACTATAAATAATCTAAGAAACCCAGTATTTCAGTCAAGTCATATTCTATGAATCTGAATTACATCCAAATTTGCCACTTACCAGTGACTTAAACTTAGAATGATTTCATTTTAAACTTTAATTTTTGAAAACTTAGTTTTTAACCTTAACTTTTTATTAGTCATGTCTATAACTTTGCAGAAAACATTTCCGAAGATTATTAGACTCCCCCTCCCCCAAAAGAAATAAATGACTTATTATAGTATCTGTTAAGTTTCTGATAGATACATGTATATATACAGATATAGACATACATATACACACACATATACACATACAGATAAAACATAACATCTCAGGACAATATGCAAGTATGATTATGTCTTGAAGTTACTTCATAACATTCATTTTCATTGCCAGTAATATTTATTCTAATACTTTAATATTATTTCATTGGGGACAGTGTGTAGGGTAAACTGAAAGATTTAAATAAGTTTCTTCAGCTACCTGAAAGCAACGTCCCCTGACTATAGGAAATGTTCAAATGAGTAATATTTTTCTTTCAGTTGCTAAAATCAGTAGAAGGTAAAAAATCTATTTTGATAAGATCTAGCACTTTCAATAAGTCACATAAGTTACATTCATTAAAAATTTGTAAAAATTTAGACAATGTTTTTTTAAAATCAAACTAAACATTTTGGTGATTTTCTTAAAGGAAAACTGGTGAGCTTTAATATAAATCAGATACACTTGCTATTATTCATATGTTAAAGCAATACCAATAGTTCACCATCAAAAAATACATCATTTGAGTTATATTCCTGATGGTAAGGATAGGCCAATACAATTTCATGTCATTTTCCCTTATTAAAAGAGCAAAGTCTACACAGTGATATTACTGCAACCTACACTTTAGTGTTTATTTAATTATCTCTGCAGGATCAAACTGATGATCAAAATTACAATACCATTATGCTTTTGTCAATTTTGCTGTAAGACTCAGGAAATTTGCTTTAAGAATGCGAAGTGAGTTTGGGATAGAAAGCTTTCAAATACTTCATAGTTCTCTACTAAGTTAATTGATCTTCAAACAATTTCTTTTCCAGAGAATTCACTAACTAAAAAAAAATCTGAGGAAAAATATGCTGACTAATTAAATCACTGGTATGTAATAAAATATGCCATAGGTCTGAACTTTAATTATTTCTCTAAAATGAAAAAGTATAGCATATAACAGGTCATAGGACCTACAAACTAGAGCTAAACACTTAAAACAGGAAAGAAAAGTCAGGATTGAAAGTGGCAAGCAATAAGCTTGCCAAGTAAACTGGTCTTCTGCTGCTTTAGAGTCATTTTATACTTTATCCCAAATCTGCTCAAACAACAACTACAAATGTTTTTACTTCTTTTCACTTTATCAAATCTTTTATACCATGCTCTGGTATGACATACTGTCTCTGATAGAAACAGGAACAAAGATCTATTTTCCCTAAACTTTGAGTTAAAAGTATTTCAAATTCAGCTGCATGCATATGGCAAGGTAAAATGAGTGAAAGAGTGAGAACTGGTCAGAGAGATCACAGGTATACATTTAAAGAAGAAATTAATTTTATTCAGTGAAAAGTTGGCATTGAAGTACTGACATTTATATTTCAACTAAAATTATAGCATTCACACAAAGTTTGACATATTACAGCTTCAAACCTAAGTACAAGAAACACAATCCAATGTGCTACTTGATACTTAAAGCTGTTGTCTGTCTACAATGAGAAAAAATCCATAGTACTCAAAAGGAAGTGTTTAATGACCCACTTACTTCGAACTTCATATTGATTATACTCTACTGTCTTCAGTAGCGGGTGAGAGAAGCAGTGCCATGGTAGCTGTTTTCTAACTTGAGGCAGGACGTAATGGGTTACAAAGCCCACAGAGCCAACCAGTGCATACAATACATACTTGAGAGCAGGCTACAAGAAAAAGAAAGTTGAGAAAATCTGAAGTGGTTTTCTGACTCACAGGAAAACTTGTGACTTGTCAATTTTATATTTGATAATGAACAAGTAAGTCAATTTCAGAATCTAGGAACTAAATATTTGCTTATAGTGAACACGTCCATATTATGCAGTTTTCTCATTTAATTAGCTACAAAAGTTAGTGATTAGTCAAGGATTACAGACATTTAAAAATGTGTTGACTACTTTCTTTGTTGCTCACTATTATATGATGAGGATTGGCCTGAGTTGTATTGCTTGCTACTTAAAGAACAACGACTTAGCAGAGAAATGTATTAAATTGTTTTAGCTAGTAGAGAACCTGTGTAAAGTAAAACAGTAAACGTTTGTGAAGAACAGAATAGATAAGAAATATATTTTTTGTGCTTTCTCATGGCATATCACTAGAACAGAGTTCTTATGTATTACTAAATCACAAAGAAGGAAATCAAGTAACATCACTTCAAAGAGTCCATATAAAAGTGTTCTATTTAGAAACTCCAAGATCTCTTAGATGTGAAGGAGTCTCCATCTGCACCTGGAAGACACACTGGACCTTACTTAACTATGAGTGTTCAGAATTAATAGTTCAGATTGAAAATAAAGAAAAGCAGGTGAAAACATTAAATAAGATGAAATAATATAAGCTTTGCTTCTGGCCAAAGACAGTAACAGGGATTTATTCTCCCACATGAAACAACTAAAAGAGGATACTAAGTAAGAATCAGTGGTTTGCAGTACACTAGACATAAGGAGATAAACAGTGAACCCTGAGAAAAAAGAAAGAGAAAATAAACAGAGGCTAATTTTAGGACTGCCCAGTTTACAGCCTTGATAGTATGTCCAAGCTGCAATGTGGGGAAGGGAACCCACTGAGAAGCCTGGTGGTCCCTTGACTGAGACAACAGAGCGGAGAGACTGAAGAGACCAAGACGCAAAGATGACTAATGTCCACAGAACAGACTGTACCAAAGGGAAAACTGCATGGAGAGAGAATTTTGAAGATAGGCAGAGGTCCCCTTGTGCATCCAGAGGAAATCAAAATGTGTATGTGAGAAAGCTACATAAGGCCAGAGGAAGAAATACATGAAAGGATTAGGCAGAACAATATCAGCACTTACATAGAGCTAAGAATTGTGCCAATTTGCACAGCCAGACTAGAAAAGCTCTTGATTCACAGGGCACTGGTTTGAGTACTCAAAAGGGTACTGCCTTGTAAGAGGAATGAATATTAGTCCTAGATTAAACACAATCCTGGTTCCAACTAACAAATCTTAAAAGCAAGATCTAACAGGATCAAAATATTAACAAATAACAGCGCATAAATTTAAGAAAGTTCAAGAATATTTCTAGAACTACAAAAATATATAATCCTCAGCAAAGTAAAATTTATAATCTTTCACATCCAATCAAAAATTACAACACATGCAAAGAATCAGGAAACTATGATCCATGAAGGAGAAAAATCAACCAATCTAAACCAACTCATAAGTGACACAGAAATTAAAATTAGCATACAAGGACATTAAGAAAGTTAAAACTCTGTTCAAATTAGTATGTAGAGGCATGAGAGATATCAACAAAAATATAACAAAGTTCTAAAATTGAAAATGATAAGGTCTGAGATGAAAACTACAATGTATGGGATTAACATGGGATTAAAGAAGAAATTATTAGTAAACTAAACAACAGAGCAATAGAAATTATTTAAAATTAAACACACAGAAAAAAGTTAAAATAAGAGATGACTGTGAGGCCTCCCTGGTGGCGCAGCGGTTGAACGCTGGGTTGCAAAGCTGCCCGCTGCCTCTGCAGCACCAGTTCGATCCCCAGCCGCCAGGCAAGGGTCCCACATGGCGCACAGACCTCTCCTGCCGCCCACTGCTCCCCTCAGCAGTGTACTTCGGTCCTTCTGCCTGTTCTGCTCCCTGCTCTCGCTCTGGTGAATTCTCTCACCCTCCCACGCTTCTGACTGTACCCAGTGCTTGTATAAATAAATAAATCTTTAAAAAAAAAAAAAAGAGAGATGACTGTGGGGAAACTTTAAGAGGACTAAGATCATGGAAGCCGGAGGGTGCACCATGGAAGTCAGTGTCCAACTTGGTTCCCATGATCCCCACTTCCTGGTATTTACACCTGCTTTTATTTCTCTCCTGCACTGTATGAGGATTACCATGTGCGACAAATAGATACAGAAGAAGTGGTGGTATGTCACACTGGACATCAGTTATAAAGTATTGGGGCATCTGTGCTGAACTTTCTCCAGGGTCATTGACTCTACAAGAAACCAACTATCATTTCCAGAGGATACTCAGGCAGCCTGTGGTAAGAACCACAAGGAACAAAGGTCTTTAACCGTAGTCAGGCAAGGGGCTCAGGCCAGCTAACAGCCACAGTTGGTTGCAGCTCCTTATGATTGCAGCACTGTAACACACTCTGAGCCGGCACCATCCCACTAAGCAACTCATGGATTCATGATTCAGGGGCCCCATGAGGAAGTAAGTACTTTATATTAAAAAACAAACAAAAGTCAAATTCCAGATTATGGACAAACATTACAATAACCAGAAATGAATCCAAGGATTTTCCCTCAACCAAAAGAACAAAATAATTCCTTACCTGTAATACTGTGAACACTGTGCTTACATGAATAGCAAAATACAGCACACCCATTACAATGCACACTACTAGGTCAGACTGTAAACGCTCACTCTGGAAAAAAACAGAAGTTTTTGTTTTAGACATAAGAATTGTCTAAATTTTTTCTTTATTCCTGGCAAAGGTTGGAATATTTCTCCACTTATCCTACTCTTTAGCACCTCTCATGTTTCTTATCCATAATAATTAGCTTATGTTTCTTATCCACAATAATCCATATTTTGATTTGACACTGTGATACTAAGGAAATGAAGTTAACCTTAATTTAACTACTGATACTTCCACATAACATATACGGATAAAAATTCCCCCCACTCCCACCAGCCTTTTACATATAAGAAGAGAAAATTAAACTTACTATATAATTTACAGAGTATATCCTTTGGAATGACCATGTTATGTATTTCACTGGCCTTTTGAAACACCAAAACAGTACGCGTATGTCCTATTTTACTCAGCAGATTTTGGTGATCTTAGTAGTTATAGCAAAAACTAGAAATCTTTTGATACCTGTGGTTGTCAGCTGAACTATAGATTTATATTTTGAAGCTAGATTCAGAAAATGTTTACTGTGTTAAACATGAAACATACTTTGCTGACATGGAAATTAAAGTCAGGTAAAACCATTTTAGTTCTATCTAAAGGCAATTTTATATTTCTAAATTTTTCTAAAAAATAAATGAACAGCTCTAATTCAATGAAGGTAAATATTATCTGTAATTCAAGAATTACCTATATTCAGTGTTTCACAAAAGGAAATCATCTAAAACAACTTAGAAAAAGAGTGTTCTTATATTTTGTTTCATAAAGCAGATATGAACCTATAGAATCTAGAATAATTGCTAAAAGGATACCGGTGATATTAAAATTATTTTAGAAATTTTTAAAATTACTACATTTACTTAAATATATTAAATTGGTTATTTAACACTGTTATTGTTCTCTCCTTCAACTTGGAACATACACACTCATGAAGACACACTTTCTGGATGCCCCTGAGAAATAAAACATGCTGAACCACTTGTAGATGATTTACTAGGACACTGTTTAAATCAATAAGAACATTAACAACAGGGCCTCCCCGCTGGTGCAGCGGTTGAGCGCTGGGTTGCGGGACTGCCCACAGCCTCTGTGTCGCCGGTTCAATCCCCAGCTGCTCCCTGGCCACTGGAGGAGGGTCCCACATGGCGCGCAGACCTCTCCTGCTGCCCGCTGCTCCCCTCAGCAGTGTACTTGGGTCCTTCTGCCTGCTCTGCTCCCCGCTCTGGCTCTGGGGAATTCTCTCACCCTCCTGCGCTTCTGACTATACCCAGTGTTTGCATAAATAAATAAATAAATAAATAAATAAATAAATAAATAAATCTTTAAAAAAAAAAAAGAACATTAACAACAAAATCAATCTAATAAATGATCATATTCACCTTTCAAGTCCTAGTTTAAGTTGAATAGGATTACTGCAAACAATGAAATCACATAATTTCACTTGATCTACAACTGACCATTTACCATATTATTATTTCTTGAAGTCTGAGGAATAAGCATTCTTATAATCAAAATTTGAAGTAAAGGCAATCAATAATACGTATATGTCTTTGGGGGTGAAGGATATATGGTTACATGGTTATGACCACACTTTTCTCCCAATTACTAAAGTCTTGTTGTTATATAACATGGTGAACTGTCAAAAATAAGTTTTCAGATGACTTGAAAAAGCTAAAACTTACAACAGAATTTCTAAGTTTTTCAGGCAGTGGATCTTTTACTTCAGACAAAGGGTCTTCTGGATTTTTATCTTCTGATTTTGGAAAAATCTTGGATTGCACCAAAGAGCTTTATATTAAAAAAGAGAGGGAAAAAAACCAATTAAAAAAACACATACATACCCTGATAACCAGTAGTTATCAAAGGGCAAATAAACTTTACTGTAAAAAACCAAGTGATCCAAGTATAATTTAGTCATTAGCAAATTACAAACTCTAAAAAGTTTAAGATACCATAAAGAAGGATACAGTGAATGAATTTTTGTTAAAATGTAGTTCTTGCAGTTTGAGAGAAAAAGCTAACAAATACTTTCAGTGAATACATTTATAATGACTCAAAACTAATTTTTTTAAGTTATAAAACTGGAGTTAAAAAATATTTGTCTCGGGCCTCCCTGGTGGGCAAAGGTTTAAGCACAGCACTATGAAGCTATGTGCAGCCTCTGCAGCAAGTTCAATCCCCGGCCTGCCAGGGAGCTACCCACATGGCGCTGGGTACAGTCAGAAGCGCGGGAGGGTGAGAGAATTCACCAGAACCAGAGCAGGGAGGAGAACAGGCAGAAGGACCGAAGTTCACTGCTGAGGAAAGCAGCGGGCGGCAGGAAAGGTCTGCACGCCATGTGGGACCTTCGACCCGCGGCTGGGTATCGAACCGGCGCTGCAGAGCTGCGGGCAGCTTCGCAACCCAGCACTCAACCGCTGCACCACAGGGGAGGCCCATGGGCTGTCACTTAAAAAAAAAATTTTTCTTCTTTCTTTTTTTATTGAGGTTTGTAAACACTGGTTTCCAACACTGTTGAGTTTGAAAAGATTAGAGTTTCACGCCTGGGCAAATGTATTCACCATAACTACCATCAAGGTCTAGTCACTACATCACAGTTAATTTATTAATTGTATTTGAAATTGAATACAAATTAAATCAGAGCACTTTGGCAAAAGGGCTCTAGAAAACATAATTTGAAAGTTGAAAGAAATGCCAACTTAGTTAAATTACTTTAGTTTACTAGCAATTGATTGCACTTACAAAAGTACAGATGGATCACTGCTTTGTCTGCTGAGATGATAGGATATTGCCACTAACAAGCCACAAAAAATAGAGAAAAGTACTGGAATATGCTGGCCATCCCAGGAATCCTATTCAAGGAAAAAAGAAGTTTGACAGAACAATTTACTTCTAATTCAGAATCTATCACATAATCTTGTTAAGTCAATTATTTTGGAGAAAGATTAACTAAAATCAAATTCAACTAAATTGTACCCATACATTTAGAATTATTAACTTCTGATGAACTAAAATCAAGCTGCTTGGCCATCCTCAGATTTCTTATGGAACAAAAGCTCTATTTATATGCAAGGAATAAATAATATATTTGCTTCAGTTACATGCTACTTTAAATTTCTTTTAGATTTTAAGTGGTATTAAGCTATAGTAAACTATATTCACCCTTTTACAAAATGAAATAACTTAGTGTAGTAAGTTTTTTGATTATATCTAATAATGGATCAGGGAAAGGAAACATGCAATACATTAAGCAAAATAAAGTGTCGACACCTGGTGTGCTACTTGATGACTTTGTTATATAATACGGCATTATATAATCAGCATTACACTGTATTTCTTAAATGAACAAACCATATAATTCAAGAAATAAATCACATACAAGCTAGTTTCTAAGTCCAACCGAACATGTTTGGGATGGGCCATGTCTGTTCTGCCTACAGCAGTGTCTCTCGGAGCTATGTGCATGGTACACTGCACCCAGTAGGTAATAGTGATACAAGGAATAGTCCGCAGTCCTAAATATGGCCTGTGAGGTAGAAACCAATCTAATCCATTGATTCTCACTTGGGATTTGAGAAGGGAAAATGAAAGAGGGGAGCCAAGTGGGAATTTATTATAAAACTTGATTTTTAATTTTCTTTAATTGAGGTAATGTAGGTTTGCAACACTAGACATTTCAGGAGTATACAAGCTTACACCTCTTCAAATTTATATTACCACCGCCTTCACCACCAAGATACCAATAACCCTCCACCACAGTCCATTGGACCTCCTTCACTCTTTGTTTCCATGCCCTCCTCCCTCTCTGGTAACCCCAGTTCCTCAGTCAGAATCCAAGGGTTTGTTTTTGTATATTCCACTGCTTTGTTTCTCTATAATCCACATGTGAGCGAACTGATCTAGTTATTTGTCTTTCTTGTCCTGACTTACTTTGCTTAGCATAATCCACTTCAACAACTTGCCTTCCACCCTCCCCCTTCCCTGTCCCATTTAGTAATAGTTTTGGACACTATTCCACATCACAACATACAGACCTTTTTTAAAAAATGGCTAACTGAAAATCTTATTATCATCTTACTGAACATTTTATGTTGAGTCCCATTTATAGATCTTTGTTAAGTATCTCCTAAATAATTATTGCCCTCATCTTTGGAAATACTATTAACTCACAGTGTATAAACAAGGATACTAAGGCACAGAGGGTTTGAGTAATTTGTGAAATGAAATGGTGAGGCCAGGAAATAAACTTCCTGGTATGTTTGAGTTTGTTGAGAAGGAATTTAAAGAGCTTGAGAATAAGAGATAAAAAAGAAAACAAAGTAAATAAGAGAATGTATATAGGAATAGCATTTGTGCAGTGATAATAAGGTAGACATTCAGATATAATTAAATTGGTAAATATTCAGAGACTGTGTGGTGGAGTCTGGGATGGAAGAATCGCCAAAGAGGCTGCTTTTGTTAAAGTCAACAATTTGGTGATTCTATGAATTTATGATTCTATGAATCACCAAATTTAATAAAACTTTTTGAGACTCAATTGCCTCTGAAATTTCCTTTGTGGGATTCACTTCTAACACTTAGATATTGGCATTCCCATGATTCTATCCTATCCATCTTTTCACAATTGATATCAGCAATCTTTCTCTGATACTTTAGTTTTGCTGATGAATTCTAGATTAATCATTATCTCAAATCTCTCTACATAAAATTACCTGTTACGCATCTCCAGATACCCTGTATCAAAAAAATACAGGTTTCCAAATGTAAACCATAACCCTTTCTCGCTAAACTCCAAGGTTTCAACCTTACGCATTAGCATCAGAGCAGTTGTTCATGCCAGACTCTACCCAAAAGTCATCCTAGATCCTATTCTGGCTCTTTGTCTCTTTATCCGGGGTTCCCAAGCATACTCACTGAATTCAGTGAGTGAATGATACTGACATAAATTCTTAACTTCAAAATTAATGTCATAATATGTTATCACCATGCTCACTTCTATCCCAGACCAGCTTAGTTTTTAACTGTTTCAAATATTAACCTATGATTACTGCATGGAAAAGGATTTTCTCAGTAATGATTAAGAAATTCCTTTCAAATTCAAAATAAATCAGAATGAGAATAATGCCTAATAAATGAAGAACATGGAAATTAATCCTAAAAGTGGCACTAGAGGAAAAAAATATTAGTCACCTTAAAACAATTTTCATATAGAAGAACAGCCTTAAAAATAAAACATACACTGTACTGCTCACCTTTAAAGCGCCGTAACACAAACCATATAGCAAGGCCACTGCCACAATGCTACAGATAAAGCTGTAAAGTGCTGCTAGCAGGCTTGTAGTGGCTAGATGGTTGAAATGAAAAGAAATTAACATTTTATAAACATTTATGGAAAAACATCCTAAAACGTTACTAGAAAGTATTTAAAATGGCATAGAGTGACTGTAATTAAATATCTACTCATTTGATTTTTAATCAGTTAGTTCACCCTATGGTTTCAAAAGATTTTCAAAGGACAAATTACTAGCCACAACTTTTGATACAAAATAAAATGTATTTGCTTTGGAAGTAATGAATATTTATACCTTATGGAAAGACTATATAAATGCCTCAAGAATTTATCTTATTGTTTACAAAAGGATGTAAATAAAAATGAAGCTAGCAGAGGACTGAAAAAAATAAAACAACTAATGCTGTATTAATCATTAACTGAAAGACATTAGTCTACATTAACAGAACTTGTGTTACACACAGAAGTAAATGTGTATCCCCATGTGCTAATTCTCACCAAAAAAATATAGCTCTGACTAATTACTAAGAACAAAAAAAGAGTTCCAAGTGCATTACTAGTAATAAGGAATAAAAGATGGCTGAGATAACCTCTATTTTTAAAATATGGAAAACAGATTAATGGCAATTTTATATGGTGACCACAGAAGAAATCTATAGGAAAAATTTTTCTTTAGGAGATAGTAAAAAACTAACACCTATTACAAGTTTGTAAATTACAATATGACAAACATTATAATCTATATTGAGGTAATGTTGGTTTACATTGTTGTTTTTATTTTGAAGTATAAGATCCCCCGCTTCCAATGCTATCACTCTAGTTTTCCTACCACCAAAGCACCCACAGTCCATTACCACAGTCCACTGTGTCTCCTCCTCACTTGTGCTCTCCCTCTGAATGCCTCAGTTCTATAATGTGCTTTCAAGGGCTAGTTTTTGGTTTTGGCTTTATCTGACCCATCATTTGGTTTCTCTATAGTTCCACATACAAGTGACACCATCCAGTATTTGTCTTTCTCCTTATGACTTATTTTGCTTAGCATGATCCCCTCCAGTTCCATCCATGTTGCTGCAAAGAGGGTGAGTTCATCCTTTATAATCACTGAGTAGTATTCTATTGACTATATATACCATATCTTCTTGATAAAGCCAAATATTATAAATTACCTACACTAAACCCTCATCACAGTACTAAGATTAATACAGAATCTTTAATAGTTCCTAAATATTGTACTGTCTCCTACCCAATAAACCATGCTTAAATCTTGCCCAGCCTTAATTCACTCCTCTTCAAAACATTAAAAATGCTCTAGATACACAGCAATATAGGAAAAACTTGTTTTCTATTTAAAATTTAAGCAATAATATCAACATCTTAGCTGCAGAGATTACTCGGAAGATAAACCGTGACTGAAAATGTGAATTATGAAAATAGACTATAAAGTCACAGTAATTCTTTTCCTTTCATATTTTTTCTCTAGTTTTTCACTCATCTTTTAATAAAACTTAAATTGCCAAACTAAGTAAGGGTATATTTTAACCATAGTGGCTGCCCACAGGGTTAATTTTCAAGTTTGGCAAACCATTAACTATCCCAAGATAATAATCATTCATTTAACTAAATATACATGTAATAGGAAGAATACCAATTAACATCCACATATTCTACTCTAAAAACAGGTACTTAAAAGCATTGTAGTTGTAGTGCTCCCATTCGATTTATAAAACAAAGTTCTGAAACCAACTATATAGCTATACCAAGTGCATACACCAGTTCAAAATACAAACACAATGTCTTATGTCAGAACTCAATCTTTTGGAACACATGGTACTATACATATATTTCTTAAGTCTATATAGGTTCCATGCAAAATAACTATAACTTAATTTTAAACAAAAGTGCTTTATAACTTCTTAGAAATCAACTCCTATCACTTTCTCGCCTTTTGGCTAAGATCAAGTGCAGAAATCAACTCCATATTCCTGGATCTTTTGTTAAAGTAGGACACTTAACTTTTTCTTCTCTACAGTTTAACTGCTGCTCAGTCTTAAATTTTATGTACCTTTTTTTTTTTCTAATTTTAATTCTAAAATGACAACCAGAAAAACATGCTAAGGCTCAGTTTATTACTTCATGATCTATAAAATTAATAAATACTCTAACCTGTAATTTCTATATGGAAGTACTCACCATTACCACCAAAGATATGAATATCCAATTGTTCACAGAGGTACATCACAAATGTATTCACCTGAGGCAGGAGACCAATGAAAAATACTATTGGGAAACAGAGTGTAAACACTATAGAAGGAAAGAAAAGGATATTAAAAATAATATATCATATCTATGCTTTTGCTCATTGAGGATCATAAAGAATAAAAAGAAGTCCAAAATTAAGATAAAACACTAAGCAATTTTTTAAAAGATATTTAAAATTATTATCCTACAAAACTCGGTATTTAATAATATTTTGAACTATAAAAAGCAACTTTAAAAATTATTTCAATCATTTTCACATAATAGGAACCTGAGATACAGAATCCCAGTACATTGGCTTCAAAAACAGAAGGATTACTGTATTTGTTCATCACCAGCATTTTCAGTCATAATAGCCCTATAGTTTTCTTCTTCACTGAGATTACAATAAATGGCAAAATAAGCCTATTAAATTATTTTTATCTATGTAATTGGCCTATTCATCAGTGAGCAGCTTATAAACATATAAATTAAAATTAAGATTTGAGATACTTTAAAGATTACTTACCTATAACTAAATCCCTGGCTGATATAAGCACCAGTGGATTGGTGAAAGTTATTCCATATAATTTGAATTTGGTTGCAGTAAGGTTTCTGCTACCATAATCCAAGAGCCAAATAAGACCACAACATAAGCAGAAGTAAACTGGCCTACTGTAGGCAATGATACGATTATGACCCTGAAAATAATATGAAAAAAGATGTTACTTAATTTCAAGAGCCATAACTAAGCACTGTGATCTTTGATGGCTCACAGTCTATAAATTTAAAATGCTTCCATATGGAAATCAGGTTTCTGATGTTTGCAGAAGGAATTACAAATACGCAAAGGAGGAAGAATATAATGAAGCCTGGATAATGGATTAAAATTAGAGGTATCAGTATGAACTCATTGTTTTTAATATGCATATAATTAGATATTAGGTATGTGTATATATGTAGGTGCATGTACATGTAAAGATGTATTTTTCTTAGCTTTATCCATTGAGAAGATCTAGAAGCAATGACTTACTAGTAATAAAGATGGTTAGCATCCAGATCTTGGTTTATAAATACTATTATTCACTAAAAAAGAACCAGGGTTTCATAGAGACAAAATTGGTTTTGGGCTAGGGTTGGGAAAGTGTAAGATGAGCCTGAAACATATAGAGTGCCAAAAAGGATGTAGAGTTAACTCTTGAACAACTCAGGGGTTTGGAGAGTGACACTCCCCACCCCACAGTCAAAAACCTGTATAATTTCGAGTTGGCCCTCCACACCAGAGTTTGATCTGTGGATTCACTCAATCGACAGCAAAGGTTGGTTGAATCTGTGAATGTGCAACCAGCAAACAGAATAAAATCTAAGTGGATCCTGCAGTTCAAATCCTGTTGTTCAAGGTTCAACTATATTTAAAGAATGGCACTGAGACGTCGAAAGGAAATAGCAAGCAGCTTTTTGACACCCAATTGCCAAATCAGAAGTGATTTCAGTATCAAAACAAATGAGAGAAACATAATAGTACACTGAATAAAATAAGAATCCATTAAAACACACAAACACACAAACACAAAAAAAAATAGACAGAGGACACGTTCTTTCTTACAGTTAAAGGAATGATGGAATTAGGAAAATCACTACCTGGCAATCACCAAATGATAACTGATTCAAGCAAAAAAATCAAGATATTCTAACATAGGTAAACATCAACAGTTATTAAAAACAAAAACAAGTAGATAGAAGTTTGCTTGGCAACCAGACATACATAAAATCTTGAAGTATCTCCTTTAAGAGACTTCTTTACTAGAAGAGAAAAACAGTAACATTCCAGTGGAGTATTGGTTCTTAAGGGAATGGAAGGGGGCTTCCCCACAGAGGACTTCTAGAAATGTCTGGAGATATTTTAGTTTTTACAATTGAGGTGCACATGCTACCAATATCTAGTGGATAGAGGTCAGAGATAATGCTAAACACCCTACAAAGCACATGCTCCCTGCAATCAACAAAGAATTGTCCAGCTCAAAATGTTAATATTGTAGAGGCCTCCCTGCTGGCCTAGGGTTTAAGTCTCAGTGCTATCACTGCGATAGCCTACCCTGGTGGCCTGATTTGGATCCTGGCCAGGAAGCTGGCCCACATATGGCACAGCAGACCTCTCCTGTCTCGCCCACTGCTCCCCTCAGCAGTGTATTTCAGTAAATCTGTCTGTTCTGCTCCCCACACTGTCTCTGGTGAATCCTCTCACCCCACACACCTCTGGGCTATAGTTCTTCCATGCAAAAATAAATAAAATCTTTAAAAAAGAAAGTTAATATTGTAGTGGCCAGAAACCCTGCAGATACTACCCCTAGCCAAAATGATCAAAGTTAATATCACCAGTAAAAGGATTTATCAACAGCATGGGTTTCCTAATAAGATGTCCTGAGAGTACAACACTTTCATAGTATTTCTACCAAAATTTAATGTCCTCTATCTAATCAAGATTATCAGAAAAACCTGAATTAAGGGATAGTCTACAAAATAACTGTCCTGTACAAGGCAAAATGTCAATATTTGAAAGACAAATACTGAAGAACTTCTCCATGTTAGAGAGGCTGAAAAGCTCAAACCCATAATGGATTTTCTATCACAATTGAAATGATGGAAAACATCTGAGTAAGATCTGTGCCTAGCATTATACCAATATTAATGCCCTATTTTAATCATTATATGGAATGGAATGCCTTTGGTTCTAGGAAACATACTCTGTAGTATTTGGAGATAAAAGGGCAAAGAGGCATCATGTCCACAATTCACTCTCAAACAGTTTTGAAAAGTGTGTGTGCACATATACGTATGTGCAAGAGAGAGAGAGAGAGAGAGAGAAAGAGAGCGAGAGAGAGAAAAACTAGAAAAGGAATAAGCACATGTGGTAAAATGTTAACATAGGAATCTAAGTGAATTACATCAGGAATTCTTTGTATGATACCTGTATCTTTTCCCTAAGCCTGAAATTATATCGAAATAAAAAGTTAAATGATACTTCCATATCATTACATTTCAAAAGCACTGTTACAAAATAATAAACATAACCAGCTGAAGGAAAAATCACTTGCCTCTTTGTTTTGCCTTGCTCATCTACTCTCATTAAATATGTATGGGCAAAAATAATAATATTCAAGTAGAAAGGCATTGTCATAAAATCGGGGTCTGTTTCTGAATTACTTGAGGAAAGAATGCCTTTTTGTCTGTTAAGTAAATACTCCATAGTGAAGACTAAAAGTGGATCATACATCACAGTAAATAGTGTCAAGCAACTAATACTTTAAGTCATAATACAAAACTTTCCAACCTCAAAATTCTATTTTTCAATACTTATTCATGATCTATTGCTCAAAATTTATTAAATGCAACTCATGAAACAGATGAATCTATATGAACCATGTCTAATTGATAACCATCTCCTTGAAATAGGTTGTCAAAAATTTGAATTATTATGCTCATTTTCAACCAAGATTTAGAGCATAATTACAATGCCACTTTACTTCGAGCTCATATATTTCTAATAGTAATGTCAAAACTTAAATGAGAAAATAACAACATAAATTTTAATTCAATCTGACATGTGACAAAGAAAGGTTTTGATGAATGTTAAGAAACTATGAATTACAGGAATGTTACAGTGACTTACATGTCTGGGAGAAGAAGAATCTGGTTGAACACTCTAAAAATGAAACAGAAAGACAGATTATACTTCTAAAGTCCTAGTAATTTTACAAGTAACTCAAAATGTCTCAAATAGGGCCTCCCCGGTGGCGCAGTGGTTGAGCGCTGGGTTGCGAAGCTGCCGGCGACCTCTGCGGCGCCGGTTCGATCCCTGGCTGCTCCCCGGCCACCTGAGGAGGGTCCCACATGGTGCGCAGACCTCTCCTGCAGCCCGCTGCTCCCCTCAGCAGTGTGCTTCGGTCTTTCTGCCTGCTCTGCTCCCCGCTCTGGCTCTGGTGAATTCTCTCACCCTCCCGCGCTTCTGACTGTACCCAGTGCATGTATAAACAAAACAAACAAACAAACAAACAAATAAATAAAACATGCCTCTGTTAAAAAAAAAAAAAGTCTCAAATAATTTCAAGGACAGATTCCACTTGGCTTATGGTATATAGATCCATCTTACTATTTGGCTCATTACTACATGTAAGAATAGCTAAAGTACAATGCTTTTTTATACAACACTACTCCATTCAGGAAATAAACAAAATTCTAGTTCTGTTCACAAATTCCAAGCTTAATAAATAATTCAATAGTGTTTGCATTAAGCTATGATCTGTGTTTTTACATCAAAATCATCAAGTAAGTTAAACTATATCCTTCTAAAATAAAAATGTTGGAAAGTGTTACACAGCTACTTCCAAAATCATGACTCTCCTCCCAACACCAGTTCATTTCTAGTAACATATGAAACAGTTTCTTTAGGATAACCTATCACCATCCTACAATTCTACATTAGATCAAACTCACCAAGTTTGGTAAGAGGTCCTTGGCTGGATATGAAATCTGGTTTAAACTCTTTCAATTTTAAAATCTATCCTCAAAAAGTTTTGTTACACTCTTTCTTATTTCTATTTATGACATTATTAGTCTTCAAAGTCAATTAATTTAAAATAAAATTTGTCATCTTTTACGTATCTTTTACAAATCTTTGTCATCTTTTATATGTCATCTTTTTCATATCTAAACTTATATTAACCTAAAATTAATGGGACACTGGGACACAAGGAACTGGAGAATAAATTTAAGTGGCTTAAGGCAATAAAAGGATAGATTAAGGGTGGCTGAGACAGAAAGCAAAGGCTAGAAATTTTGATGCAGAATCACCAAATTTAATCAAAAGGACTTGGCTGCTTGTCATTAGGTATCAAAAAGGAAAAAGTAGAGGTTCTAAGGTTTTGAGTCTGTGCACTACTTTCAAAAGCAAAGGAATGGAGAAGGCAAAATATTTAACCTAAGATTATTATGCCGGGCCTTTCTGGTGGTACAAGGGGTTAAGTCGCAGCACTACGAAGCAGCAGCTATTCACAGCCACTGCAGCATGGCACTAGTTCGATCCCCTGCCGGCCAGGGAGCCATATGGGTTACCACATGGTGTAGCAGACCTCTCTCCCCTGTCTCACCCACTGCTCCCCTTAGCAGTATATTTCAGTCAATCCATCTGTTCTGCTCCCCACTCTGTCTCTGGTGAATCCTCTCACCCCCCGCACCTCTGGCCTATACCCGAGTTCTTGTATGCATAAATAAATCTTTTTGAAAAAAATTATGATGTCTTCTTTTTTAAATGTGCCTGACTGTTAGGTATATGGAACCAGAATTTTTAAAGTTGAAGGCTTTGAAGTACAAATGTAGATAAAATTATTGATAGGGGCGACAAATCAAGTAAGAAGAGGATGACCTCATTGATAAGGGCTTACAAATTAAAAAAAGAGCCAAATAAAATCCTATCAAATTCTTATAAATTCAGAAGAGATCAAAAGAACAAAGAGGCATCAACAAAGGAAAATAAAGTTATTCAAAAAGATAATTGCCAGGGTAGTATAGTCACAGAAAACCAGTGAGAGTAAAAAAATGGAATACACTTTTCATAGGGATTAGATTATGCAACATTCAGAGAAGGAAGCCTAAGAAACGAATACAGATTTGACAATCAGAGATTATTAGCAGCCACACAGACTGTAATTTCAGTGTTGCAATAAGGAAAAATATATGGATAGGTCTTGGAGAAAAGGAACAGTTGACATAGGTGACTTATTTCAGATGTCTATCTATAAATAGTGAGAGAAAAAAAGAAAGAACATTTGATGGTATAAACAGAAATAAATAATAGTTTTCAGGACAGGGAAGGTTCTGCATAATGGTGTATATGAGGCAAATTACCAAAACAAGCAAGGTGTTGCTGACTAAGAAAGAATGGAAAGGAAAGAATCCACATTAACAGTCCAACTGGTTTTGCATGGATGGTAAAAATTGTAGTATATGATTCTCCTATTTTTGGAAAGCTTAAAATAGATAACTTGGTATTTTAAAGCCACAGAAGTGAGAACAACTTTCCACTTCCAATATTAGTTTTGACATTACCATATCTACCAAAGACTGATTTTAATAAATTTCACCTACAGAACAGAATATTTAAAATATAAGAGGGAGCTAATCTTCATTCAAAAGAATAAATTTCAATAATACAAATTCTTATTTTTAACAAGTGCTCACACATTTCTTCTAATACATGAAAGTAATTTTGAGGATGCTTCATTTATATATCATTTTTAAAGTTTATATGTCCCTTCTGTTCCCTGCCATATTTAAAGTAAATGTCTAAAGAAAATAAATCGAAAAATAAACATGACAATTCAGTGATACACACACACACAATCTGAAACCTTCTGCCTTTTAATACAAATATCATCCCTGTAGTCTGAAGAGAGATGTTGGTACCTTAAGTAGTGAATATTGACAGCTGGCTATCACCAGGCAGAATTGGAAGACCCATATATCTCTGAAGAAGCCTTGAATGAGAAGAACAGAGCCCAAAAAAGCCACAAGAATAGCCAGGATGACAGCTAACACATTTTCTAGGATCTCACGATTTCTGCAGATAGAAAAATTTTGAAGTGAATCATCTCTATAATAAATTAATTGGGATGAAAAAAAGAATGACATCAACATGTTCATATTACAATGCTCACAGTGTTTTAGTACTAGATTTGAATAAGTTTGGATTACACTGAAAAAGAAACGAGTTTATGTAAAAAATTAGCACAAATTTTTGGGGCCTCCTTGGTGGCGCAAGGGGTTAAGCACTGCACTATGAAGCAATCCGCAGCCTCTGCAGCATGAGTTCGATCCCTAGCTGCCAGGGAGCAACCCACATGGTGCAGCAGACCTCTCCTGTCTCACTTGCTGCTCCCCTCAGCAGTGTACTTGGGTCAACCTGCCTGGTCTGTTCCCCACTCTGTCTCTGGTGAATGCTCTCACCCCCCCGCCGCATCTCTGGCCTGTACCCCAGCTCTTGTATGCATAAATAAATAAATCTTTAAAAAAAATTAGCACAAATTTTTATGTGCAAATAAAGGATGCTACAGTGGGCTGTGAAGTTCTAATTATAACACATACGTAGTTTTAATTTCTATTTAAAAATCTTTATGCTTTTATTTCAAAAACTATCTGCTTTTCTGTCAAATTTAACAGTCCACATTAACAGCCTAAATAACCAAGTTGGATGATGCATAAGGAATATATACAAAGAAACAAATTCGAAAAAATCATAAAACATTTTCTAGAAAATTAAATTTGGACGTTATTTTATATGACCAAGTTTATAACCAAATTTTGATAATACATGATTTCATCTAAAATAATCTGAAAATTAATTTGCTAAAATTACTGAAAGAAACGCTCTGTGTAAAGTCATCAACAGACCTAGAAAAAAATTCACAATACCTCTATACTATTTCATTTCATAGTCCTATCAGATTAAAACAAAATCAATGATATTTTCAAATAAACAAACACTAGCATTTTCATTTGATCTTATATGGCAGCTGTGGAATTCTAGAGTTGCTGAGGCCAGTGATCCTCACTGGGTCTACTGTACTAGACACTGTCTCTATTGCTCCTCACTGAAAATGTGCTCTCCTTTGCTTTTTTTTAAGCTTTTAATTTTGATGAATCAATTTATAAATCTGTTGATTTATTGAACTTGTTTTTGGTGTCACAACTAAGAAATTTTGCCTAACCCAAAGTGGCAAAATTTTCTGGTTTTACTTTTTTCTATACGTTTTATTACTTTAAGATTTTACATTTAGGTCTGTGATCCATTTTGAAGTAATTTTTGTAATGTGGTGCAAAGGAAACATAACAAGTTCTGTGGTTTTTGTTTTTGCTTTTGGCATATGGAAACCCAATGGTTCTGCCACCTTTCTCCACTTCACGGATGTGGGATATTATTTTGATGCCATCTAGGATTGAAGTTTTCTTTATGGGAGATTTTAACTACAATTTCCATTTACTTAATAGAAATAAGACTCTTAAGGTAATTTTTTTTGTTTCAGAATGAACTTTCATCATTTATAGCTTCAAGAAATTTGTTTATTATCAAAAAAAGTATTTTGAATTGTGGCTTTGTATTACTGATGCCTTATTATTAGGAAATAACCTTTATCCTTAGTAATATTCTCTGCTCTTAAATCTACTTTGTTTGATATTACTAAAGCCACTCCAGCTTTCCTTTGATTGTTGTTCATATGGTATATCTTTTTTCAAGATATTACATGATCTTTTTCTGTTTTTATATTTAAAGTTCATTTCTTGTTGGCAGCTTAAAAAAGTTGAGTCTTGCGTTTTTTCTTCCACCTGACAATTTTTTACTTTTTCTAACTACCACCTTGCTATTTTCTATCTGTCGATCAGTTCTTGAAATTGTTCTTCTTTACCTACCTTCTTTAATTTAACAGTAATTTTTAAGAATCAATTTAACCTTTTCTTTTTCCACGTGGGGAGCTATACTTCTTTCTTTTACTCTTTTAGTGGTTGCTTTAGGGTTTATAGCATACATTTTATGACCATCTATTTCAAGTGATGATACACTACTTCACATAAAAGAAACTTATGTAGTATACTTTTTTAATCTTCCTTTCTGGATTTTATGCTATTACTGTAATGCATTTTATGGATATTATAAACTACATAATATACTATTATTTCTGCTTAGTCACTTACTTCCGGAAAGAAAATATAAAGGAAAAATGGGTAGGCCCATATTTCCATTTGGTATTATTATTCTCCTGCTGTCTACAAGACATTCTTTAACCTATTTTGTAATGTGGGTCTGCTTACAAACAAATCTTTTCAATTTTACCTAGTCTGAAGTATCTATCTTGGTTTTTGGAAGACTATTTTTGCTGAATATAGAATTCTAGCTTTACAGTTTTATTTTTTTAATACTTTAAAAATGTTGCTGTACTAACTTCTCACTTGCATTATTTCCTACAATAAATGTTTTTTATTCTTGTTTCTCTGTACAAACTATGCCTTTTTTCCTCACAGGTTTTAATATTTTACCACCATTTTAAAGCAGCTATGTACCTTTGTACTGTTTTCTTCATTTTTTTTTTTTTTTTGTATTTGGGAGCCTTTGAAGTTCTTGACTGCATATGTTTACAGTTTTTATCAAATTTAGAAAGTTTTCCACCATTATTTCCTCAAAAATTTTCTATTCCCTGTTTCTTCTTGAAATTGTCATTTCATTTTGTTTATGTTCTTTTCACTGAGAGATAAGAGTGGGGTGATGGTTCTTTTTGCTTTCTCTTTCATTTTGGATAATTTCTATTGCTATACTTCCAAATCACTAATATTTTCTTCTGTAGTGTCTAACTTGCCATTAATCCCACTCATTGTATTTTTAAATTTGGACCTTTTTTTAATCTCTGTAAGTTTGATTTGGATGTTTTAAAAGTTTCTTCCAGTATCTATTTAACTCTTTAAACACATAAAGTACAGTTATAGCTATTTTACTGTCTTTGTTAATTGTAATATCTGTGACAATTAAAGGTGGACTTCTCTTTGGAGAATAATCTATTCAGATCTATGCTGGTTTATTAATTGGGTTGTTTTATTGTTGTTAAACTGAATTTTTTGAGGGGTATATCTTGGATATTAACCCCTTGTTGGTTGCATAATACTGGGAACTCTCTGAAGGCAATAGAATGGGCAATTGCAAGGCTCACATAATTTGTTTCCCATCTATCAGTAATCACTACCCTGTTGTTTTATCTCCAATGTCCTGCAAATCACTTCACTATTATAGGAAGGTGACCCTTAAAAACCCATGTTGACTGCAAGAAACACTTGATCACCAAGTTCATAAGAGACTTATGTTGTTTACTATTAAGACCAGTGCTAAGAAATAGGGAAAAAGAAATTTCTTCTATTCCTTTTATAATTAGGGTGATAGTACCTATAATCTCAAGATAATTAATACCTCATATTCTCTATTTTTAAGTATTGCTGTATGATTTTTTTATTGAAGATAAAGTATTTTGGTATAAACATATTAAAACCGTCACAAAATGCTTTTAATCAATTCAAGAGACCCAATGTTTGGGAACCCTATTAACTTAAATTTTATCTAAAGAGGACAAAAACAGAAAACATTTTCCAGTGAAGAAACCAACTAAAAACCTCAATGGGTAATTAGGAATTTCTTAATTTAAAAATAAATCTACACTCATTTTGATATCGACTATATGCTCACCTATCAAACAAAGCCAAAAGTGTGAGTCTGTCAAAGTTAATGCCAATCCACAGCTGTGGCAGGATCCAAAAGCGGTAATAGTGTTTAACTTTTTGGGCAGCCTCTTCTGTTGGACCATAAGTAGTGCCCAAGTCAGGGCTTAGATCAATGTCTTGCTGCTCCAACAAATCTGTATCGATGGTTAATAGTCTGTTCAATCGAATCTGTGGAAGAGAGAGCTGAAAGAAAGTCAGCATTGAAAGACTTAAAATAGCTAATCAAATCATGATTCAGGGCTATTCAGTCAGCATGTGTATTATTAAGTCTTGTAATTCTCTACATTCGTCCACTCTTTGTGGATACTATATAATCTTCAGAAACTATAAAAGATGACATTTTTAAGTCAATAAACAAAGCAAATTAATCAAAAGGCCCTTTGGAAAAGGTTTTATTAGGAAAACTGAAGTCTTAACACCTTATGATTGTGTGGCTAGTCAATGCATTAAAATCATCTACAGTTAGTCAATCTGAGCCTATTCAAGAAATCACAGTATACTTCTTTTAGTTTTAACTCAGTCATTCACCAGTTCACCAATTTCCCCTTGTTCTGAAAGAATCCAGTTTACTTTATCTAGCACAGCATTGGCCAGCATTTGGTTATCATAAGGGTTTCACACCATTTAACAGTGACAAACAATATAATAATCAATTTCCCCTCTTTTGTTTCTCTTTAAAGCTACCAGGAATACTCTGCAGCAAAAAAGTAAGGATAATCTTTACTTTTCAAAGACATATGTAAGAATAGTCAAGAAAAACTGCGCTCGCTCGCTCTCTCTCTCTAAACATATATATATAAAATATGCATTTCTATCTCAAAGCATTGACAAATCCTTCCCCAAACACATTTTTTCTTATCCTCAAGGGTTTCTTAAACTTGTCACCACAGATATTTTCAGCCACATACTTCTCTTTTGTGGGAGTATGTGTTCCACTGTAGGCTGTTCAACAGCACCCCCAGCTGCGATATACTACATAACAGTAATATTCTCTCAGCCATGACAAGCAAAAAATGTTTCCAGACATCGCCAAAAGTCCACTGGTTGAAAATCACTACTACATGTCAACTCACACCTATGTCTTAAAACCTTGATCAAAACTCTCATCTACAGGAACCTGCAAATGATTAATCCCTTTAGCAATAAATGAATCTACCTGTATCTCTTAAATGGTGCTTTAAAACAATTGGTTTGTTTTGTGTTTTCTAATTCAATATATACATCTTGATGGCAAAGGTGGTGTTATCTTTTTAAAATTTCCCCATGGGGGGAAAAAGATTTCCCCCGGTATCTCCAATAATATTTTTTTTATACAGTGAGAGGATCATTAAGTTTCCCACAAACATGCTGCCATAAGTATAACTAATAGTTAACCAACAGGTAATGGCACATAAATCCTAATATTTAAGTGAAATTTTAAAATGGCACAATTAAAAAAGTCACAGCCAGAAACTTTCGTAAGCAAACTGATGTTTTTACACACCCTCAAAGTGTAATTACTGATTCATAGACAGCTAATTAAATGTCAGGGTATTTTGATTAACGAAGATTTACAAGAAGAGATCTAGTATGGGCAGCAAAGGTGATTTTGCTATAACTTTCATTAAAACTGAAAGTTACATTTTGTAATTTCAACAATTTTTATTTGTATAGTTACTTAATCTGAAAGTACATTTTATAACAATAAAGAAAAACCTACCACATCATGTGGATAAAATCGAACTGAGGTAGAACTGGATACATGAGAATCCGTGTCACTAAAATAAAATGGAAGAAAAAAAAACTTTAGGGAATAAACAGCTTGCCAAGTAGGAAAGAGAAAAATAAATCCTTTAACAACGAGACAATATTTACAATGTCTTCACTTTTCCATGTAAAATCCAAAATTTAAAATAGTATTTTTCTAGAGTTGTGATTAAGGGTACATAATCTTTGGTCAGAGTATCTACATTCAAATCTCCTTATCAACTAAATGAGATCCTGTACAAGTTATCTAACCTTTTCACATCTCAGTTTCTTCAATAACAAAATAATAACAAAATAACAAAACAATAGTACTTCTATCACACAGTTCTTATAAAAAGTATTTAAGAAAGCAATATATTGCCTGGAACCATAATAAATTTAAGCTATAATACGGTAGCCTAGAACATGACAGTTCAGTTTCTATAACTCAGTCAAGTTTAGATTTCAAAACTTGGTATCTTACCATGTAACTGTTCTTATCCTGAATTATATTAAACATAGTTAAATGTTTCCATTGCTTCATCCTCCAATTGTTTCTACTATTATAAAATCTCCTGATACTCCAATTTAATCGTTTTTGAAAGGGTGAATTCTTAAACTGGTTTCAGAATGTTTCATCTTTTCCATACACTAAGCTAAGTGACTGTAAGATTTAATTTCTTTAAATGGTCCCTGAAAATTTAAGAAACTAAGTGAACTGTTCACAAGTACATAACATTTATGTAAAACAGTAACAATTAAATAAGACATTTCTCATTATTAAATGGAAATCCAAAATTAAAAATCAAATTACTCTTTTGATAGTGAGTTAATCAATAGATTTCAAAGTAACTCGAACAGATGAACAGTAAGATTAAAATTTTAGAAAACAAAATTTTAACACATTCAAAACAACAGTTGATTATGTTAAATGATCAAGATTTCTAACTTCTTATTTTTCTCCTAACTTCTCCATTATCTTACGATTCCTCAGGGGAAAAAAAGACATTCTTTGGAGACAAATGCATCACTGTGACAAATTAAATAAATATAAACAAAATGTTTTCAAAGTAACTTTTAAAAATTTAAACATGGCAAATATTTGCAAGTATACACTTTCTCCTAATATGACTTCACACATACCAGATATTGGATGCTCTCCTTGCTGCTGGTTCAAAATTCACAAGTGACATATCACAGCCACCAGTCTCATAAAGCGTAGAAGAGAACTTACCTAGCAAATAAATGAGTTTTTTAAGATCCATTAGAATACTCAGAATTTTTCCCTCATGATATACTAAAATTTAAACTTATTATAACTGAAGAAAATGCACTGTAACCTTTTTCTCCAAAATACCTTAAGAATAGTGATCTGCACATAATTCAACAGAAAGAAAACTGAAAAGGAAAGCTAAAGAGTGGGGCAAATGTTAAGAAACAATTAGGTTTTAAAAGTAAAAGATTTAAGTAACCTTTCTACTACCAGTCTTTTCTCCTCCCAGTACATTCTCAATTCAAGTAATCATATATTTGAATTTAGGATGGTTTGCAAGTCATGTGACCACTACTTACAAGCAGCATGTAGCCACTTGGAAACCTGCTTAAATCCTGAGAGAGTTCCAACTATAAGACAACCAATTTGTGTGATTACCTTCAGAATTGTATTTTCTGGGGGAAAAAAAAAAACCAAAAAAGTATCAACTGGATCTAAGGAAATTCAATGCATTAGATGGGGATAATTAAATTATATAAAAAAAGGTACTTCATTAATTAAAAAAGAAATTAATGATTTTTTAAAAAATAAATTATACTATTTAGTGAACATTAGTAGTTATATGATTCTATAAGAATTTTGAAAAAAATCTAGGAATAACATTTGGCTATACCCAAGTATCTCTACAAAGCTGATAAAAGTTTTAGAAATTATACTGGTTACAAAGAAATATGGATTTAAAAAAAAAAACACTTAAAATGAACTCTAAATAAAGAGTTTTACTCATGAAAACATGAGTTTTCACTTAGAAAGAAATGGCATTTTATTGCTACTTATGTTTTTTCCTAGACTAGAAGTCAGCAAATATTTTCTGTAAAGAGCTAGATAAATATTTTAGGCTTTGTGGGCCAGAAGGCCTCTGATGCAAGAATTCAAGACTGCCATTGCAGTCTGAAAGTAGTCACACAACACATATAACAAATACACATATCAATTTTACTTACTTTATTTACGAAGACAAGAATCAAGTTAGATTTAGCCAATAAGTTGTAGTTTGCCCACCCCTGTTTTAGACCAAACCTTAATACTTCTAAAACCTCTTTAACTCTCATGCAACAATGGAAATCAAGTCACTATACTACTTAGGATTAAAAGTTTCAATCTTGAGAACCAGTCCATTTTCCTGGAATGTGCAACACGGTGATGGATTAAAAACAGAGGAATAAGAAAAAGGGCAGGTACAAGAAAAAAAGCTTGGTTTAGAAGAAAGCTTTTGCGCACTGGTAAGGAAAAACAGACCTTTATTGCTTAGCAACAATAAAAGATCAACAGACTGATTTACTGGCATGGCCACTGTTCTCTAGTACTAACTTAATATAACATGACTTACTTCATTATTAAGTCTCCACTCCTGCTGCCTACCAGATCAGGTAAGCTTTCCAAAAGTGAACATTAAAAGTTCATATCTGTAATGATTTCATAATCTGCTCATATTTCCTTTCAAAGGGACAAGTACTCCTTATCTTGGTAAAACAATCCGTAACAATGACATTGATGACATTACAACAAGTAAGGCAAACAAAAGGAAATGCCAGAGAAAAGGAGAAAAGATTTGCAATTTGTATCTGATTAATTAGTTGTACCTAAAATATCAAAAGAACTCTTACACCTCAATAATAAGACAAACAATCTATCCTAAAAGTGAGTAAAAGATCCAGACAAACTTCACAAAAGGGCTATGGATAGCTAATAAATACATCAAAAGATTCTGAGCATCCTTAGTCATATGAAAAATGCAAACTTAAACTAGGATGAAATACCATTATACACCCATTAGGGCTAAAACTTTAAAGGCCAACAATAGCAGATGTCAACAAGAATGAGAACAAAAGGAACTCACACACATTGCTGCATGGAATGCAAATCCACTTCTGAAAAACAGTTTAGAAGTTTTATTCAAATAGCTAAAATCTTGAAAACACCATAAATATCCACCAAAGGATGACTGGACAAACAATATACAGCATGTTCATTCAATGCAGTACTATCCAAAATATAGGGAATGTACTACTAACATGTAACAACATGATGAAGCTGAAAAGCATTGTGCTAAGTGAGAAGCTAATCACAAAGGCAACATATTTCATGACTGCATTTAAATGAACTTCTCACGAGTAGGAAAAGCACAATGACATTAAATACATAGTGGTTGCCTGTAGCCAGGGCAGAGGAGGGATGAACTGAAATGGAGGCACAAAGAATCTTTTGAAGATGAAGGAAAGGTTCTGTATAATGATTGTGGCATTTCAAAGGTGTGCTCCTCTGTTAATCTCATCACATTGTATATATCAAGTAAATGCAATTTTTCATACCTAAATTATGTATAGATAAAAGTGATTTAAATACAAAAAAGAAAAAGATTGGCCAGATATGAGCTAATTAGATGAAATATAATGAAACAGCTTGTGAAATTCCCACATGATAAGAATCAATATTTTTAAGAATGAGTGAATTTGTTGCTTTATTTTTGTATTTCATTTTAAAAATAATATGCATAAGATTTTAAAGTAGTATATAAAATCAAGGTTCCCCATTCACCAGAAGAGTCAGCTACTGCCAAGTTTCCATGCAAATTAAAACCACGCTGAGATATGTTCAACAGAGGAAATGTATCTCAACCCTGGTTTTAATTTGCAATTTTAAAAATTATGATCAAGCTTAAGCTGTTTCCCCATGACTGCAAGCTTGTATTTCTTTAAAATGTTTATAACTTCTAGTAGGTCACTGATTTTTACCTTATGATTAGAAATGCTTACTGTCCTATTGTGGCAAAAAATGATGACCGACAGTCTGTATTCAACCTGTCATTCCTTTTAGCAATAGGACCACACTCACTGAACTTCACCTGGGCATATGTCCCCTAGTTAGAGGCAATCCAGCCTCTCTGGCAGCTACAAATGAATACATGCCCTATATATGGGACCACAGACAGAGGAAAGAGAGAGGCACATTTCCCAAGTCACACTCTAAAAGATAAAGACTAGTTGTCCTTGACATGATGTTTAACTATCCCCCTTCCTATTTTTATGGAAATGTTAACAAGGAGAGCGATCACTACGGATCTGGCAGGGAAGCCACATGTGAAAGACAACCGAACATGGTTCCCATTAGACTACTATGAGAGAAATACAAACTTCTCTTTATTTTAGCTACTAAAGATTAAAAAATATTTAACCTATATTCCAACTCTACATATACTACTAATCAACTTTAATTTAGATCTAAGAATGTTAATGTTAAAAAGAAGATAATCTAGTCTAGTGCTTCAAAGAAGTCTTTACAACATAGACTAGAAAAACACAAATTATTTGCCTCAACCAATCCCTGTTATCTTCTGTAAAATACCTATAATAGTTCAGGCATCCAAAACATCTTTTAAAGTAACAAGCCACTAGTCTTTCAATAGTACCAATAATAACTTTCTGAGCATTCTCCATGAGATGAGCATTAGAGCACATAAAATTTCTCTAGGTTTATTTTTAATGTACAATATTTGTGAAGATAAAATGAATACTATCAAGCCATGCCAGGTAAAGTATAAACTGGTACAAGTTTTTCATAAGCAATTAATGGTTTATAGGGGGATGATGTTTATTCCCCTTGACTATGACTCTACTTCAACATACTTATCCTAAGGAAGTAATCACTGCTGTATTGAAAGGTTTACATAAAGGATGTTCAGCAGATTATATTACAATAGGAAATATTAGGATCCGCTTTTAAGATTAACAATGCAATTTAAAAATTATGATAAATACAACTGTTAATAGCAATGCTTGTTTATATAATCAGCTTGCAAATGCCAGATACTGTTCCAATTACTTTGTATGTTTTAACAGATAAAATTCCCATCAAAACTCTATGAAGTAGGCATTATAACTGCCCCCTCTTTGGTAAATGAGGAATTTGAGGCACAGGAGAAAAAATAACTTCCCCACAGTCACACAGCTAGTAAGTGGTAGCTTGGATTTGAAGCCAGGATGTCTGACTCTGGAGTCTACTATGTGGATTGAAGTGACAAGGTATTATGCAGTCACTCAGAAACAAATTAAAGAATAGTTACAAGAGTGTATTTCAGATGCACTAAGTAAAAAACCAAGATACGAAATTCATAAAGTAGCACAAAAGTCACACAACAATATCTCAATTCTGTTTCAGTAAAGTGTGCATTAAAAAAGACAGGAAAGAAAATATATAAAACATTAATAGTGACTTAAGTAATGAGATTTTAGAGGATTTATATTTTCTTCATTATATTTTCCAGCATTTCTAAACCTGTATTTATGTTGTAAGAATGGGAAAAGAATAGTCTCATTTTACCAAAAGTAAGCAGGATATGTCCACCAAATCTCTTAAGACATCTAGGTATAATGAAGCATTCTTAAGAGTTTCAATAAAAGTAAACATTTTGCTTTCATTTTTATATATTTTATATTGCCTCCTAAAAGGAGCAAAGATAGAAATTAATATTCCTTGTATTAAAAACAAGATCAAGGGCCTCCCTGGTGGCACAAGGGGTTAAGTACAGCACTGTGAAGCTATCCGCAACCTCTGCAGCAGGAGTCAATCCCTGGTCATCCAGGGAGCTACCCACATGGCGCAGCAGACCTCTCCTGCCTCACCCGCTGCTCCCCTCAGCAGTGTATTTCAGTAGATCTGCCTGTTCTGCTCCCACTCTGTCTCTGGTGAATCCTCTCACCCTCTGTATCTCTGGCCTGTACCCCAGTTCTTGTATGCATAAATAATCTTAAAACAAAATTTAAAAAACAAGATCAACGGTGTTACAAAAAGAATATAACATTTGCTTAGATGAATGAAAACCATATACCAAAACACAGGGGACTGAAGCATAGATTACAAGAGATACACACACATACACACACACACACACACACCATCCCTCTTCACTCCCAAATAAAAAAATGTATATATCCTTCTTGATTGCTATTAAGAAAAAGTACTTATAACATAGCCATAAGTAATAAATGTTAGAATAGTCCATAATGCACATAATCTTTTTTAAACCAGTCTAACTCTAACAAAAACCACTAGAAGTATTACATATCCTCTATTTTTTAAAGTAAATAATTTTAAAGCCTTCAAATCATATATCTGCTTAGTAATGTATAATTTAATACAATCAATAGGGGTTGCCAGATTTCCGGAAGCATTATTTTTGGAGCTGACCACATTTTCAATTAACAAATTCTGTAGGAAAGCAGATTATCTCAGAGAATACCTCTGTGTCACTCCTGTAAAATAATGAAACAAAAAAAAACCTTAGAAAAATCAATTTACTCGTCACTTTTTAAACCTCTATTAGTGAAATTAAGAAAGTCTTAAATTCATCTGGACACTACTTATGATATTTATATATTTTATATTTAAGTCTTGATAAACATAAAATGTCCTCATTCTTGCTTAAGTCATAATAGTATTTTAAAATTTTTTCACAAAACAGTGATAATTTTATAACTACATTTTCAAAGCATATCCTCACCAGTTATAACCACTAATTTCATACAAAGAAGAAACACATGTAAATTTTCCTGTTTTATTTCATGTTATCTATTTCCTGAGATGATGTTACATACTAAGATTTTAACTATCAACTACAATAGCATGTTCATCACTACATCAATTAATCTTAATTTACAGAAGGAAGCTGGGATAACATAAAAAAACTGAGAAGTGATTGCCAGATTTTATAGAAAAAAAGCTAGTATGTACACAGTAACATCTTTAAAGACTCATCACCCAAAGCAAACAAAGTCAAGGAAAAGATAATCACCTGGGATTACATCAAACTGAAAAGCTTCTGTACAGCAAAAGAGACATTAACCAAAACAGAGAGACACCCCACTGATTGGGAAAAAATCTTTGCACTCCAGTCAACTGATAAGGGACTGATCACAAAGATATACAAAGAACTCACATGACTCAACAAAAACAAAATAAACAATCCAGTCAAGAAATGGGCAGAAGAACTTAAAAGACATTTCTCCAAAGAGGAAATGCAAATCGTCGACAGGCATAAGAAAAAATGTTCAACATCCCTTTTAATCAGGGAAATGCAAATTAAAACCACATTGAGACAACCACCTTACACCAGTAAGAATGGCACATATCAAAAAAACCAGCAACAACAAATGTTGGCAAGGATGTGGTGAAAAAGGAACTCTCCGACACTGCTGGTGGGAGTGCAAACTGGTCCAACCACTATGGAAAGCTGTGTGGAGGTTCCTCAGTCTACTAAAAATGGAGCTACCACACGACCTAGCAATTCCACTGCTAGGGATCTACTCAAAGGACACAAAAACATTGATTCAAAGGAACACCTGTCCCCCTATGTTTATTGCAGTACTATTTACAATAGATAAAACCTGGAAACTACCCAAATGCCCAAAAATAGATGACTGCATCAAGAAGATGTGGCATATATACACAATGGAATATTATTCCGCAATCAAAAAAGATAAACTCATGCCATTCACAGCAACATGGATGGAACTAGAAGGGATTATGCTCAGTGAAATAAGCCAGAAGGAAAAAGAAAAATATCAGATGGTTTCACTTATAGCAGGAATATAGAGGAACCAAATAAGACATCAGTGTAAAAAAAATAGTAACAGTACAAAACACAACAAAGCTAAAACAGACTATTATAAATTAGAGAAATATTGCAGGGGAGGAGGAAGGAGAAGGATCAGAGGAAGGGAAGGAGAGCATAGGGGACTGAGGTGATGGTGCGCGGGTGCACTGGTGAAGGAAACTCTATGGGAAACACCTGAGGGGGGTGGGGCAAAGCAAATATTTAAAAGTGAACAATGATGTAAAAAAATAAAAATAAAATTAATAAAATGTAAAAAAAAAAAAAGCTAGTACGTATATAACTCAACTTCAGGTTACCTGAGTTCACAGTCTGTTGTATATCTGGGCACTTAGCCATAACCTGTTTTATTTAGCAAAACCTCAATTTAATTCAGGATATAGTAGAAAATCAACTGCAAATACACAAAACTGTAAGAGATTGATGAGAAGGAAATTAACCTTTAAGAGGTGGTTTAAAAAATGTTACATTTTAGGACTCATGAAATTCTTTGATAATAATTTCCTTTTCAAAGATGTTAACTTACATTATGTGAACTTTTAAAAAAAAAATAAGGTTTGTGTGAAAAAGGAAGGCTCTAAAGGAAACAATCTAAATATTTTTAACTAGGTTCTGGATAATACATATACAATTTACTGTTTAAAATTGTGATGATTAACAATCATGCCTACTGAAATGAAAATACATTTTTCTCTGAACACAAGCTAATAAAATTCTTATAATACCATCTTCAATAAATATTCCACCAGGTTTTCTACTTGGTAACCTTGAAATGCTAGTTAAAATGCAACAGAGAAAAAAGGACTCTCATGATTTAGAATAAGATCTGGATGTGGATATCTGTTACGATACCATAAAGACGGGGGCAAACTACAGAGGTTTGGAATGAAATAAAGCCTAACTGCTTATTTCCTTTAATACAATTAGGCAAATTTACAAGTTTAAAAATAAATACACAAATTCTTACATCTATATGCATGTAACATTTGTAGATATACATGTGTACATATGCAAACATGTGCACTCACACATGTATAACACTGTTTTATATAACTGTATTATATATGCATACATTTTCACATGTAAATACTGTGCATTTAAAAGTTCAAATGAAGAAGCTACATTCGTAAGGAAGCAATCCTTTATAAACAGTTCATACTTGTAGGGACTATCACAACTAATTCTAACATATTTGAATACACAGTACCTAAATTCACACAAAATCCTATTACCAATGTTAATTAAAATCATATAGAAAATTAAGCCATGGAATGAAAGTATACTAGTAATGGAATATTTCATAAAAATCAGTGTCTCTACCAATACCTTTAATCTCAGCTGCAGTGCATTTTCTGATTTTTCTTTTTAGCCTTTATGTGCTATGGAACAGTGTGCTTTGTGCTGGTTTTGTGCTAGTTTTTAGTAAGTATCCAATTTAGCAGCTACCATGGGTCAAAAACTAGTAAAGTCAGTTAACACAAAAGATGAAATCCAAATTTCAAAAGAATATCCTGAATATTCACCAGTAGATGCTAAAGTCACCTCTAATCAGAAGAGATTCTTTATCTTCAGAATCTTCAAGGTAGGTCATTAACATGCATCATTAGCGCCTATGACCTGCATGTGGCTTTAGAATGAGGCTTGATAGCAAAAGTTTGATTAGCAGGGTTTTTTTTTTTAAAGCAAATTAAGAGTTTTTATATAGGAAAATCATGTGTTTGATTTAACAAAAGTCTAAAAATTCAAAACTGGGTCAAAACAGTTTTTTATTTTAGCTAATCTACTATCATAAACCCAATGGGCAATGGTAATGGTGACCGTAATTTTATATATACAAATTGACAAATCCTCTGAACTTTGGGTTAACCCAAGAGAAATATCAATATAAAGATATTATTAACTGAAAATACTTGCAACAACTAAAAAAAGCATCACTGCTTAAAGTCAAAGCAAGTAACTAAATTAAGTCCACTTTATTCTCTCAAGCACCCTCCTGAGAGACGCCTCCTCCCTTTTCTCTTCACATTACAAACTCAAAAGAGCATTCTAAAATAAAGATGTTTTATTGCCTTCTCATTTTATTTAGAAATCACTATGCATTTTAATATTATATATATCTTAAATGACCATTTTCAAGTTTCTAAATGATTAAAGATGATTTTACATCAATATGCATATCTAATATTTATTAACATCTCTCCAAGAATTTTTACTAAATTGGGAAGAATTAACAAATAAGCAGTATTTAAAATTTTATTATGCCTTATGTGGACACTTTACACCACATAATCATCTTAGTCAAAGCATCAACTAGGTTATCACATTTTTAAATGAGGCCAGTTATAACATGGACAAACAAAATCATGATGAGCAAATATTTTTTCAAATATGTACTTGTGAATAATAAGATTTTCCTCTTCACTGTATTTACTTAAATTGCTTTTAATCTGCCTCTGAACACAAGAAATCTGTACAGAGAAATAAACTAAAGTAATAAACTGACTATCTTCAAGACACAAAACTGACCAGAGAGGCTATGCATTACTGTGGTTAGAAATAAGAATTAATTTATAACCTATATTGAAAGATATATTAACATAAAAAGAACTTTACAAAGTTATTATTGGATATTAGTACATAGCTATGTTGTCCTAAGAGGTCTACATTTAGATAGGAAGTCCTACTTCAGGTGATGGACATTGAAGTGACATACAGAATACCCAAAAGATTACATAATAGACTATTAAAAAGTATTTTGCTCTTCTTGTAGCCTAGTCAGAGAATTAAAAAAAATAACGGTTTAATCAAAGTAATTTTTTAAAAAATTGCTATTTTCCCACATGGTACAAATGCAAAAAAAAAAAAAAAAATTGCCCAGATCTTTGTAAGAGAACATTAAAGCATGAACATTTATTAATATTTTTAACTACCTACTAAAAATGGACATGCTCAAAGAAAATGAAAGTAAGAATAGAGAGAACACAGAAGGCAAAAGCAAAATTTTCCTTACACACAGGACAAATCCCATAAAGCGTGCACTTGCCATAGTTCCGAAATGAAGCTATCTCAAGAGAGAATTGCTTTCATTGTTACCCATTATTTGCTGCATTAAAGTTTCATATACCAAAATTACATAAGGCCTGCATACCAAGTTCATCGTGCAAACTGCTGCCTCCTACAGCAGATGCATTGTCATGTGGTGCTTCTAAGTGGACACTCCCATTTCTCACCAGCAAGGAGGCACTAGAACTGAGCACTGCAGTCTGGGAAGGGGGGCGGGACTGGACTTTGACCTGGGCTGTGGACTGCTGGCCTTGCTGACCATCTTGAAGGCTAGGAAAAAACATGGATTGGGGAGACATTACAGGGAGAAAAGAGAAAACAATAGCTAGAATGAAGTCAATATAGAAAATCTTTCAAAAACTTTTTCAATGTAACCTAAGAAAGAGCCAACAAATGTAAAATATGCAGAATATACTGCCACATTAAATCTAGTCCTTAGAAATCTGATTCATATGCATCAGTATGGACACAGTAAACACTTAGTGCATATGTAAATTAATCAAACTATGAACTTTATTCCATCTCAAGTTAACAGAGTTCTCGTATAAGGAAAATGAAAGCAAAACAGAAGAATCACAACTATATTAAATGTATGTGGGTTGTAGTTGCTCCCCAGAAAATAAATCCTATCTTTCAATTAAATATGCACTTTTACCTATAAACTATATTCCAGAATTGTTCTTTCAAATATACTGGCATTGCAAAAATCACAGAAAGATAAAATTTCTACATACATGAAAACCAGAGAATCTTTGTAAAATGCAACCAAAATGACAATTTTGAATCAAAAGAATCACAAACTAGTGCAAGAGAACCAAAATAACAGACTCAACCAAGTAAAATGCAAGTGACCACTGGAATACTAGAAGTACAATTAACATACAAAATGTTTTTCTGAGAAGTCTATATATATATATATCTGAAATAAGGCCACAGGCTTTATGTACAAGTGTTAGTTAACAAGTGAATTTTGTTAACACCTTTTCCGATTTGTATCAGTTTCATTAACAAAGATCTATCATTCCACAAAATTTTAAAAATAATTTAAAAACCAGTAATCTGTCAAGGAATATCACAATCTTTTCTAAATTTCAAAATTTTAAAAATATTTAGTATTTTGTGATTATACATATTTATTTATTAAAATGATCAATAGTATTTAAATTATTTTAAAATTATCTAAAATTAACAAATTATATTAGCTTGTTTTATATATTTTAAAGCACTGAATTTTAACATTCTTAGTACAAAACTAAAATTTACTGATGAAACTCATGAAAACATTTTAAGTATAATTCCTATATTTCATTCCCTACATAATGTTCAATACAACTCTGCATTCTGTTGATTTAAGCTTACTTTGAACAAACTACAGTCTGTTACTAAATTATACCCTTTGGGGGAAAAAAAAAGAAGAATGCTACTTAGAATGGCTTCATTTAGTTTCTTTATCAATTTTATTATGATTATCAATTTCTAATTCTTTGAATTCAGTGCAATGGTTTCTCTGATCTGATGTCAACAAATTCATCTGCTCAGACTGTAATTTGAAGTAACAGGAAATAAGAGACTAAGTAGAAAATACTATATATACTGCTTATGCCTGTGGTTATGGGAACAGAACACACTCTGGAACTATACTCTCTGATACAGTACTCACATGTGACTACTTAAAGTAACTAAAATTTTAGTTCCTTAGTTCCACTAACCACATTTCAAGTGCTCCACAGCCACATAACAAAATTAAAAAGCTAACAACAAAGAGTGGGGAGAAGCTATTAGTGTCTACCATACCAGATAGTGCAAATTATAGAATAAAATGGAAAGTTCCGTTAACCATCACTACCTGGAATATTCACTTTTCAAGCTTCTTTTAGAGCCAATAAAAAGCTTACAACCTAAGAGAAGCACAGGAATGTACACAACAATAAAAAACCAAGTCTGAAAAATGTTGACTTGTCAGTGCTAGCTGGCATTTTTTAAAGTCATAAATATCAGAGTATTCATTTAATAACGTCTATTCCACTATTTAATAACGTCTATTCCACTTAGTCTATGGAATAGAATCTGTACATAATCAGACATAAATCAAGAGATGATATTGGGAACTGATATAATCAAATTTGTATTCTCAAAGACTGTTCCTCTTCCTCAGAAACTATTTAAACATCCATAAGTTTTACCAAAATGACTAACACAAGGAAGAAAATTCTGATGTGAAAATGTTTAAATAGCTCAAGTGCTATGTCTCTTCAATTCAGAAGACAGCAGAAATTCACAGAATTTGTGCTTAACAAGTTTTTATCACTTTTTCACTTAAAGTAATAAACAAGGATGCAATATGACAGATGTATTTTAACGTCAACATATCTGAGACTCTATTCATCTTTGCCATATCCAAAGAAACAAAAGACAGAGGAAACTGGACAAAATCTTTGAGATTATAAATGCCAACTTTTTGAATAGCAAAAGTCAGTCATAAAATATCTTTTGAATTCTTGTTCAAAATCCTTCAACAACAACAACAAAAAAGTCTGTAATCTTTAAAGAAACTGTTAAGAAAACTATTCTTGGGGGTTGTACTTTACCTTACATTAACTACTGATTGGCAAGAGTTAACTTGCCAACTATTTTATAACACAGCAAAAAAAAAAAAAGGTAGAAATTCAGGTCTATAATATCAACTATCAACAGAATCACTAACATGCAATTGTACTAATTATTGATAATTCACATTTCTATTTTAACTGAGAAAAATAAAGGTGATCTCAGTGTTTCCTCCCTCTATACCACTTAGTATCTATCACATCCTACTTTATAGTTTCATTTTTGTATGTGTCTTCCAATTAAAAAGCAAACTCTAAGAGTAAAATCACATATTCCTATGAATCTCTAGAGTTCAGAGAATAGTCTCAGAACAGTGTCTTGTACACAGTATACAACCAACAAATATCATTCCTGAGCACCTCAAAATGATTTTTATGATTATGTTATTGCTATAACCCTCTTTAATTACAGAGCTTTCAATCTTATGCTATTTTAAACAATAAATCTAAAAATACAGTAAAGCTTTTTACCCTCTCCCAGAATTCACTGGTGATATCTTTTCATTATAATCCATTAGAGTTCTAAATGTTATCACATTAAAGTTGATAAATAAAAATCTAGAACTCTTAAAATTAGTATTATATAATTTTAAAATATTTGTCTTTGTTTCATCCCCAGTAATTGTGAAAAAATAGCAAGGACCTACAAAACCTGTGTACAAGGCTAACTGAATGAAAAGACTTTAAAAAAATGAGGTCCAAACAGGATAGTCTAGCAAGTATAAACCACTTGCAAATTGATGATTCACTCTCAATCCCTGGAGACATATTTTACTAAGTTGCTTTTTAGTGCTGATTAAACTATTCACTAAAGTTTAAATTAAGTTAGCAGATTTTATTGGTATTTATATATTCTTGTAATTAACCTATCCCATTTCTTTTTGACAAACAAGTTTGCAAATTTTGTGTGGCCATGCCATCCTATATTAAAAAATGAGATTATTTTTATGTAATCACACAGAATTAACACCAATATGCTTTACCAATATATTTTTGCAATTACAAAAGATTATTAAACTGGTGTTTCTCCTAATTCCTCACAGTATATTTTATTTCATCTGTGATGATGTCAGATTATTTGAGAGACAAGCAGCCTTTGTTGGAAATATCCTGGAACCTCAACAAAATCAACATGCTGGCTACTCTCCAAAAATTCTGACATGAGCTCTTTACAAACAAGTTTCACACCATATCCTCTGAATGGTGATTTATTTAAAAACCTAAAAAAACATGGAGAAATCCTATTTGATTGGAGGGAGTTAGAACAATTCTTTAACATTCCACCAGGCAGAGAAAAAAACTAATTTGTGTGAAGTTTTTGATGAGTGGGCTCCAGCAGGCTCATTTGTGGCAAGAATGAAAGGATTTTTAGAGGAGGAAAGCAAAGATGTCTATGGCAGGTGTTACTCAAGGAGCAAAAAGTTTAGAAAAACACAAAATAGAAAAAGTAAAATGAAGTGTTGAGCTCTCTGCAGTTTGGAACTTTCTGCTACAGCTTTTAGCAGAAAGAAAAGTTACTTCAGGAAGCAAAGGAAAAGAGGTGAAAAGGAAACAGAAAAGGGCTAATAAAAAGCAAAGATACTCAGTAACAGTTTCTACACCAACTGCTTCTTTTAATTGCTGCTTTTCCTTGTCTTATATTTTAAATATTGGTTTAACTGATCCATATTACGTATTACAGAAATATGTATTACTGTAAGACTAGGTAGGAACATGACCTCAGAAAGATGAAGTTCCTGATTATAATGTAAAATCCAGAAAAACAGTCACCTCTATCCCAGGGGAATGTAAAATAAAGCAATATTAAAAAAAATAGGGATTATGCTCCTCTCAAAAACAAGGTTTTAATAAGGATTTTATGTCCTTCAACCTGTCATAAATTCAACAAGTTATTTTGTCATTTCATTAATTGCTTGTTTTGAATTTCAAATGTGGCAGGAAAATAACTTGAATAATGGTGCCTAAATTTATATGCACTGCTTAAAGCAAGGACATAGAAAGTACTTTTATTTGTATTCAGGTTCTGAAAATAAGTTAAAACACAAGTTTTTTTAATAATTTTTTTTATTTCAAATTCAACACAAACTCCTTAGATTTGACACAACTGAGAATAAAACATTTACTAAAACTTGAATGGAAATTTATTCCCAATATTATAAATAGGCGTTTTCTTAATTAGGAATATTGGAAAAAATTTAAATGTTTCTCTTTAGTACATACACAATAAAGGTTGAGAAAATCATCAGATGTATATGCAAATATATACATATATCCAACTGACCATCTTTACCATAAATATTCTAGTTCTCTGTCATTTACTAGATCCAGATTTTTGAAATAAAGAACACCAATTTTTAGACAATATGAAATAAAATATATATTAGTGAAATAAAACAAACTGGCTTAAGAAATTGAGGTCAGTTATTTGTTATTCCTTATTATAAGCACCACTCAGTTCGTATTTGTTCATATTAAACACTGTCAAGGTGTTAGGGGAAATGCTGCTGTAATGTTATTAACTTGAAGTAGGAAAAAAAATCAAAAAACATTGCCTGAAGGTTTTATTTACATTTCTATATCTGCCCTAAAGTGATCTTTCAATTTAAAAGTGGCTACACCCATCTGATCATTTTGTTTAAACAGTGCAACATAAGGCATGCACAAGGCAATAGGCTCATGATCACATGCAGAGAAGGAATAAAGAGCTTACAGGTAGGAAAGAAACTGAAGAAAAAGAAAAACACAGCTCTTTCGATGCTTCTCGGGATTGACAGAACAGGTTAGAAGGTCTGTTACATGCATGCTAAGCTTGGTGGAATTTTAAAATACCATACCTTGGGGGTGATCCGATGAGCAATGTAGGAGGGGTAGGGTTACTCCCTGCATTGTGCCGGCGCCGCACTGCCTGGCGCCTAAATGTGCTGCGTTCACGGCGAAATGCCACCGCCTCCTCGCTGGCCTGTGCTGCTGCATCAAGACAGACTTAGGTCAAATAGGAGCCTAGGTCAGAGATGTAAATAGCAGCTGAGCCTCTCTCACCCTTGAATTCCCACCCTCGAAGGCAATACACAAAATATTTGTTCATTTATTTAAAAGATATTTGTTTCTCTAAAAATGTTTTCAATCCACTATCTTGCCTCACCATGTCCTCTCAAACCCAATTTCCTACTTTAAGGCCTCTGTTGCTTTAAGTCTTTTTCTAAGTCTTGTTTATTTAGCCACTTGTTTCGTTCATCCCCCCTTTAATTATGCTAGTCTGAAAGTACAGTATTGGTTAGTTACTAGTAAAGGGGACGGAGCATTAAGTTTCTTACTCTCACGAGGACCGTATAAACAGCAATGAGGGTACTTCATTTTTGATGCTCAGGTGTAGTAAAACTGTAAGTTTATCTCACACTACCCTGCGCTACAAATTTGGCAGCATTAAATGAAATCACTGATGACCAGCTTACACAACTAGTTTTTCAAATGTTCATTTCAAGATAGCATCAATATATCTTGATGGTAAGGTACTTCGCAGCCATTAAACTGTATTCAATTCTATGGCCCAGACTTGGTTCCCTCAACATTAGGAAGCAAATTATCAGCAAGAGGGCAAGAATACAAAGTCATAGCTTAATCCAAAAGCGACTAAAACCAAGTACACAGCAAAGAAGAAATCACAAAATGGCTTAATACAATCACATACATTTACATACAACTATAGAAATTAACTGCTTTGGGCTTCCAAAACAGCAAAATACATCCATCCATTTGACTCTAAAACTATTTTTTTCCTCATAATCTGATTATTTTAGGAAACATTTAGTGCAAGTTAGTGCAGAAACATTCCTTCCAAACACATGAAAATTCCTTTTACTTTTAATTTTTAGCAAGTATGAAATGGATCACAAAATTAAGAATGTTCCATTTGGATTTCAGTTCTGTTACAGGCCTTCTTGACAAGTATGATTGATTCTAAAATCATTATACTGCTCAGCTAAAACTATGTCCATCAACTTGAAGAATGTTGATTTCAACACACAAAGTATTCTTTTTAACTTGTACACTTTTATCCCCTGCCCAGGCTGACTGAGTGAACATTCTTTGTGTATTTAGTACATTATGGTTAGAATATATGGACTACCCCCAGAAGGCTTGAACTTCTCTATCTTTAGACATTTTCCTTAATTAAAGGACTGACAAGCACAAATCTTTTCATCCATTCAGCAACCTTCTGCCATTAAGAAGTAAAAGTCACAAATCATAGGACACTTATTTGTACTGCTTGTTTTGTCTCAGTTCATGCACTATAGTCATTCCAAAGCTAGGCAACAAAGTAAGAATTAGGCTTTGAAATTTTGGATCCAAATCAAACTTGACACAAGTTAGTATTTCCTTTTTTTCTTCCAGTTTTATTGAAATATCATGAAAATTACTATAAATGTGAACAAAGCTAGTATTTGTAGAATCTCATATCCAAAAATCATATATGACCTACAAGAATAAATGATGTGGATTAGACCTGACCCCCTAAAACTGTGTTGTCAAACACGGTTGTTACTAGTCAGTTTTGGCTAGTTAAACTTGTTAGTTAAAATTAAATAAAATGAAAAATTCAGTTTCTCAGATTCCTGCATCACATTTGAAGTGCTCAATAGTTTCACATGCCTAGTGGCTTCAGTAACTGGACAAGAGAGACATAGATCGTTTCCATCAGCAAAGCAACTTGTACTGGACACTACTGATATAGACAGCCAAAGGGGACTTTGTCACCACAGTCTACAAAGCACACTGAGTACCTTGCCTATTCCTGATAATCATGACCTTAATAAAAGGAACCAGTATAGTCACAGAGGAGAAAAAATATTTGTAGACAGTGACTGGATGAAGGACAAAGCAAACAAGCCACTTGAATGAAAAATTAAAAATTAGGCAAGTGACTGTTATATCTTTTAATAGTTCTTAGACATCAATAAGGTTAACTCAGGTTATAGAATTTAAAATCAACATTTTAAAACTCAATTCAAGAATTGTTTTTGTATAATTAAATTGATTACTAGCTTATTTTATAACAAACTACAACTTATTACACAGGTCAATATACTTTATTAAGAAACTTTGAAACATTCTCTCTAGTTTCATGTATTTTGTTTTAACCAAAATAACAGAGTAAAATTTACCCAGATATACTTTATAGAGACTAGTTTAATCTGAACAATGTAGTAAAATTATTCAGAAAGATGTGGGAGGGGCCTCCCCTGGTGGCACAGCGGTTGAGCGCTGGGCTGCAAAGCTGCCTACAGCCTCTGCAGCGCCAGTTCGATCCCCGGCCACAGGCGAGGGTCCCACATGGAACGACAGACCTCTCCTGCCACGCCCACTGCTCCCCCCAGGAGTGTATTTCATCAGTCTGCCTGTTCTGTTCCCTGCTCTGGATCTGGTGAATTCTCTCATCCTCCCACGCTTCTGACTGTACCCAGTGCTTGTATAAATAAATAAATAAATCTTTAAATAAATAAATAATTAAAAGGAAACTTAAAAAAAAAAGATGTGGGAAAGCAATGTAACCCCTAAATACTAGGAGCATGAAGGAAAATAAAGTTTTCTTTACCATCTTCATTGTACTGAAGACTTAAAAGTGTTAATATTAAGTAAAGGTAGTTATTCCACAGTTTTGAAACCAAAGAATAAACTACAATGTCCATTTATAGTAAAAATGTTCTTTGGCTTCTTCAGAAAATACCCTTTTCTTGCCATTAATCCACCACTTATATTTTGGTTCCTGCAAAATGCTTTAACATTACTTACTTTCTTACTAGTTTTTATTTTTAAACACATTTTTGATTAATACATCAAGATGACCATTTAGACATCCATTAAATAACATATCAAAATGGAGTTATGATAACTACCTGTGTTATCCTTTGTAATATTTAGGGTATAGATTGCTAATACTAATAAAACTCTCAATGTTTTCTATATTCATTGCTTTAACTAGAGTAGCCAGAGTCACACATTCAAATTAAACCACTATGCTATAATTTATGGTCTCAACAACGAAAACTAACTCATGGCCCCCTAGGAATGCACTACTTGAACAGAAGATCTCTATTTGGAATAAATTCCAGTGTGGATTCAGTTCTATTAGAGACAGGAAAGAAGAGTGTCTTTAAAGCTTAAAATAATGTTATATGCATATTCAGCTGCATAAATCATACAGCCGCACTTGATGTAAATTTACTTCTGTAATTCAACTGCAATAAACTCTTTTTGAATTCTTTAACTTTGTAAGAAAAAGCAAGCAAGAGAAATTTTAAGTAGGGTACCAAAGAAGAGGAAAACATTCTAAAACCTGATTTGGAAGTTGACATATTGACATTGCTTAAAACCTAGTAACTCCTAGAACTCCTAGCAAACAGTGGAGGTAACTAGTATAATAATTAGTATAAAATGCAAATAATGAAAATTTAGCAAACTAAGTACAAATATGTGTATGTACATAAAGTAGGAAAAAATCACAAACATTCAAGAGATTAACAAACCACGAATGACAAAACAAGTATAAAGAACTTTTCAAGACACATATTTAGACAACTTTGCCTTTTTAAAAACTTCTTTTTTAATTATAAGAATCTTGGCTTTCTAATTATTTCTTTGTGTTAAGAAGACTTCAAAAGACTGCATTATGATCGTTGTAGGTTTAAGAGAGACATTCAGATAATTATTTAGCTCTTTACTTCTGTGGTAGTAATACAATCGTTCAATGCAGTTTAAACACTTACTAGGTGACTAAGGGCAATTCAGCACAGGGCACGGATATCCTAAGACATTTTAGACTGCTATGACCTGATCTATTTCTAAAGATCAAAAAAAGCCAAACACACATCTACAATACACAACACACCCTACACATCTTCCACTTCAGGACTTGCTTTCATTTATCTCAATGAGTTTAGGAAAATTCTACACATTCTCTACTTGTATTATATTAGTACAATTTTTATTTTACATGTGGGTATTAAAACAATAGACTGTCAATCTGGCTTACTCTGTGAATGAAAACAAGAAAAGCAATAAAAACATTAATATGCTTTCAGAAAGGTTAAGATTCATAAAAGAGAAAAATGTGGTGAGGTAGGAAGTAAGGACTGTGTATATTCTATCTCAAAAGTTAGAAAGTTATGATAATCCTCTGTGATTAAATAAGGAAGAATGAGAAAACCTGAAAAGACCAATCACAGAAAGGAAACTGAAGCAAAAATCAAGTTTCCCAAAAAGCAAAAACCCAGGCCCAGACGATTTTACTAGTGAATCCTACCAACCTTCAAAAACAAACACCTATTCTTCTCAAACTCTTCCAAAAAAAATAGAGAAATAGAGAAAGCTTCCAAACATATTCTATGAGGCCAACATTATTCTGACACCAAAACCTCACAAAGACATCACAAAAAATTATAAACCAATCTCCTTGATGAACACAGATGGAAAATCCTCAACAAAATCTTAGCAAATAAAATTCAACAATACATCAAAAGAATTACACGTATCATGGTCAACTGGGATTTATTCCAGGAAAACATGGATGTTCAACATCTGAAAATAAATGTAATTCACATCAACAAAATGAAAAATATCCTATGAATATATCAATAGATGCAGAGAAAGCATTTGATAAGATGCAACATCCATTTATGGTTAAAAAAAGAAAAGCCTCAGAAAACTGAGTAAAGATGGAAGATACCTCAAAATAATAAAGACCATACATAACAAACCCACAGCTAACATCATAGGCAATGGTGAAAGACTGAAAGCTGCTTCTCTAAGATCTGGTATAAGAAAAAGATGTCCACTTTCACCACTACTGTTGAACAGTATTAGAAGTCCTAGCTAGAGCAATTAGGCAAGAGAAAGATAAAAATGAACCCAGACTGGAAAAGAAGTAGTAAAACTACCACAATTTGCTAATGACATAATAATATACATTA